CCCTAGTCAAAAAAACATTAAATAAGCCATCCAGTTATTTCATGATCATCTGCAAACTGAGATCCATGAAAATTAAACCCATGTGTATGCATAGTCTGGCACTCACATAGTTGCTGATTATAGGAATTCAATGTTTACAATTCACATTCTTTCCCACACTTTTTTTCTGAAGTAAAAAGTCATTTGGTCTTACCATTATATAATTTAGACTGCTGAGGACAGGACTGCTCCTTTGTGAAAGAAGCAAAGTCCAAGCACGAGAGACCAATTCCAGCTTTAACCAAGAGATGATGGAAACACAAGAAGATACAGTTTAAATTCATCATCATGGCTTGACTTTGCGAACGAAGATTTAGGAAGGGTTTTACCCACGCTTACTACAAGCGTGCTGATGACTATAAAGGCCAATGTGGGGGAGGCAAACCTGGTTGCAAAAAGCACAGTGAAGGGTCTCCTTGGGTGGTATAGGCGGGACATGATTCTTTCTACATTCTTTTCTCCTCAAGACTAGTTCTGCGTGCGTTCTCCAAGGAGACAACGGCGTTATGTATGGTGTGTCTCCAAGTCTCCTGATTAGAAGACAAGGTGGACCACTGATTGTAGTCAATATGGCCAAGACTGAGGTACTGTTTCAAGGAGTCCTTCTTTGGGGCGCTTCTCTTGCAGCAGCCAGTGGCGAGTTCACTGTAAAACATAATCTTAAGGAGGCGGCGATCCTTCATCCTAGAGATGTGCCCTGCCCAGCACAGCTGCGATTTCAGCAATTTGGCCTCGACACTGGTGACCCCTGCCTGTTCAAGGACAGTAACATTTGGCGTAGTCAGTCCAATGGATGTTTAGAATTGTATGGAGGCAGTGGGGATGAAAGCGTTTGAGGAGTCACAGGTTATGGCTGTAGAGCCTTCAGAAAACTCTATAAAAGAGTCTGGTGCAATAAACACCTGAAGAAAAGTACAAAGATTAGTGTCTATAGAGCCATTGTACTGTCTACTCTTTTATATGGGTCTGACTCATGGCTTATCTACCACCATCACCTGCGACTCCTCAAACAGTCCGAATTAAAGACATAGGAAGGAGCTGGAAATAAAAAATGATCCTCAACATTTCCAAAGCCCTTTGAGATAACCGTGACTTGGACTAATCCTTAGAATATGAAGGAACTTGATGAATTTTGCTGAGCAGCTATCCAGAGTGAAAAACACACTATGGAAGACTCATGCAGGATCTGCTCTTTATGATGTTCTGGAGATGCATAGCAAACTGTACATTGCCAAATGCAACAGCATGTCTGGAATCCTCCAGAAAACAGAAAAAAACCCAAATACTTCTGCCAGACCTGACTGGGGTTCTAGAGCCATCCTGGTGGTTTATACATACAACTCTCATGTACAGGAAGGTTACTGGCCTGATTGGTGCCATGATGTAAATCAGCATTCAAAAAGATAACAAAGAAAAGCCTTTCTCAGCAAAGCAGAAAGTTCCAGTATTCAAGGCCTGTAGAGGGAAGGAACTGAGGAAGAAAGAGAATGCCATGCTTCTCTACACAGTAGACATCAGGCTAGTGCCAACAGCAGAGGAGCAATCAACAGCTCACAATAGGTTTTGGATATAAAACAACTGGAAACTGCTGATGTGGAAACTGTGGCAGCAGTGGAAGCCAAAGCAAAGTGTTTCTGATACTCACTGACACCTTTATACTGGCAGAAGTTTAGTTGCCAATAGTCAGTCTTGCGGTTCTTCTGGAGGAAGTCTCATTTCTTCTACATGAAAGCCTATCATGAGGCCATCTTGCAACTCTGCTCTCCCATCCAACAGTAAAAGCAAGAAAGAATAATGAAGACAAGATTTATCCTGTATACTAGAGAAACTTCAGAAGGCATAATGTAACTGTTCATGTGATCAGATCTGCTGCTCCAAAACAATAAATTACAGCAAAACCTTAGTGTGTACTATAGGCTGTTCAGGAACTGCTGAATTGTCAGCATGAAGTTACATAGAATAAAATGTAAGAGCTTCTAAAGGCAGTATATAATAATTTCCTATGCCTTGCAGGTACAGACAAACACACACGCTGGTCACATGGGTTGATTTACTGAGTTATTGCAAAATACAATACTTTGCAATCAATACAGAGCAAGTCTATTCAAAAACTATTAAATACATGGTAACATCTGCGTCCTCTTGTGATAAAGTAAAAAATATCAAAGTTTTAACAGCTGGAACATCAAATTATGATCTTCACAGAAGAGTAACAAAAGCACTGGTTGAAATCACACTCCAAATATTAATTTGATGTGGTTCGTAATCTATGCAGCAACTTTAATACTGGAATCCAGTACTCAAGCCTAGCTCTCGTTCACTGTATACCTGCATTTTTAAATTTTCCATTTTTATTTAATCCACTATTTAAAGTTCTTGTCACTACCTCTGCTTACACCACACTGCCCTGAATTAGGCTCCCCTTCAATGACTGACACTATTGATGGCCAGCCTCTGGAGGGCCAATTCAGATCTCTCCATAACAGCCAGGGAGATCACTAGAGGACAGAGAAAGGGAAGAAAATCAGAAGAAGGAAAGTAGGAATGCGAGGCTGTGACAGAACAAGTAATTAAGAACATGACAGTGCACCCATGACTGTTACAAAACACTGTTCACGCAGCGGAACTCATACATGGATGTTTGTCACTAAGTGATTTGTCATTGTAGGTGTTACACACATACAGAATTCAGCAATAGCGCAGTACACGATAAAATTGAGATCACTAATTTTACAGCAGTGATCAAAAGCACCTTTTCAATGCCTGGCAGTGCAAAGCTCACATCCAAAATGATGGGGCTGCAAACACAGTAGTCAGTCAGCGGAGGACTTGTGAGAACACATGAGAATTCCAGCCAGAACTGCTGACAGAGGACACAAAGGGCCATTTTCCAAGCAGCACTTGAATAGTTTACTTAAGTTCCCCCTCTCCCTGGCCATCTCTCTTTTAGAGTAGCAAAAAAACCCAAATCAATACAAAATAAAAACCCCAAAACCAAAAAACAACCAAAAAATCCAACCAAACATAAAAAATTGAAGTAAAAAGATTTCATGGGAAATATTTTTTAAGGTGTTGTCAAACAACATTTCTTCAAGGCCAAGCTGTTGTAATAGTATACAGAAGTCGGCTTCCAACAAGATGACACTTCACATATGCCTTTCCAATAATTTTAGGGTGCAGTTCAGCAGTGTGAGCACCAGGTTTGCATTTACAAAATGTGTGCTTGTCCCCTCAGGCAAGTAGATATTGTACTTCAGTATGTGCTTACACATGTAAGCTTTGTATACATAGTTGGTGTGTATAACCCCGCAAGTACAAAACAGGCTCTCATCTTTGAACACTATGGTATTTAAGATACCTAAACCATTAGACTTCCAATCTTTTGCTTTGGTATCAAATCAATAGAAAATTTACAATGTCATTCTTCAGTCTTGCACAGACTGAGTTATTAACCAAGAAAATTAAAAAGTAACAAGTCTCAGTATGCAAAGGAATCTACAAATTCATTCATCAATATGCAGTACATTACAAATAAGGAATTGCTATAGTATGAATGAAAACCAAGTAGCTGTAGGAAAGCTTGAAAGTCTTCCTAACATATCTGCTCACGTAACAGATGTTTAATGCCACTGTAGCAATGATGATACAACAGCTTCTACTACGTTACTTCCCAAGTTGTACATTTTATGCCTGATTGGAAAGGTGGGTGGGAAATGAAGGGCCTCTGAGGTGTTCGGCAGCAACGCTTAAGTGCATTGAAAACACTGATAGTCTGTGGCACACGGGAATTAATGGATTACACAGGATACTTTTTTTGTATTTACAGTATCATACACTTGCATAAAGTCTCTGCTGCAGTTTTGGTTTTTTTAGTACTTAGCCTGTGGCAAATCACAATAATATTATTCAAAGAAAAAGGCAATCCCATTTTCTTACGAAGACTAAGTGACTAATGGGTATTACTTACCTTTGCTTAAGCTATCGACCCCTCTGAACCCCATAAATCCCAAAATCTAACTGGCACAAAAACCTTTTGATAACTTAATACAGGAACTGATGGCTCTTGATTGTTAACCTCGACTTATCATTAAGCTCCTTGCTGGAGAATTACCCACTTTGCTACATGTCATAGTTAATACATTAAAAAATAATAACAAGAAAAAAAAACAAACCAACAAACCCCTCCCCCAAAAAACTACACACAAAAAAACCTGCAAGAAAGACTGACTTTGCTGTTGGGTTTCTGATTGCATAATAGAAAATACCAAAGCAATGGGGTCTATCACAGTAATATCATGCTGCCTCTCAGATACCAAAGACTACAGCAAGCCTTCACAAATAATGATGCTTATGGAAGCAGCAAGCAACTCAGCTTCAGCAAAAAACTGCCTTATCACCAGGCTCAGTAAGACATCAGAGCCTTCAAAGCAGTTTCTGATATCAGCCTAAAGACACTGGGATTTCAGTTAAGGCAAAGGCAAATTGAGGGGAATAGGAAGGAACATTATACTTAATGTGGCACAGCTGAAAAAATGATGTAAAGGTGGAAAAAACAACTAAAGGACATGATATCTGTCCCTGAGGGCAGGAGGCACAGCCCTCTGCTCTGCAACAGGTTTTTATGCAAGTATTTTAAAACCTTAAAAAAAAAAAAATAAATCAAATGTGTAACAATCAAGCAGAAGGACAATGCAGAACAAAAGAACTGTGTTCAAAGACTTCACATCCTTTAAAAGAAACCTGTACCCATTCCTTCATTGGTAAAATCTCATCACCAGGTCTAAAGAGCCTTTTACATAAAAGCAAGCAGATAAAGTATGGAAATTTTAAATACTTACTGTTGTATAGAAAAGTTTAGTTGTGAGACTGAGAAAGAAGGGCAGAGTTGCTTTTAGTCAAAGGATTGCATACTCTTCTAGAAAATAACAAAAACATAGTAAACCAAACCAAATCAAATCAACTATGCCAACTGACTATCAGTTTACTAGCCTTTAAGATATTAAAAATGCACTTGCAACACCTGAACACAAAACAGGGTGTACCTGCTATGACAAAATTACTTTCCTTTCCAGCACACTCTCCATTAGCTTTTGGTGCCACAGGCTGAAGAAACTAGATTTAAATCAGTGAATGGCAAGTGTCAGCAGGCAATGATCACCACTACACTGGTGGCTCCATCCTGATCATCCTTTTCCTCCAACACGTCCTTTCTTTAATCTTTAAATTTAAAAATCAATCTTCGGTTTGGAAATTCAGAGCCATGTCTGATTTTCTTTGTCACTTCTGGTCACACTGTAGGGTATCTTCAGAAACCATTCTTACTTCTTGCCAATTCCATTCGTTACTTTTGATTTGGAGTGGCGATTCCTCCTTCTAGATGAATGGCTTTCACTATTGACTGAAAGTTTTGGTGGACTATTGTCAGCACCTGCTGAAAGGGAAACATTTTTTTTTACTATATATTTTACACTGTGGAGCTGTTGAGACAGTAAGGCTACCTAAAGCTACAGTGTTTACAAGTACAGATTTCAAGCTAATGCAAACTGGTTGATACACTCCATCTAGTGGCCTATTTTTTTTTAATAAAAATTCTTAAGACTTCTGTAAAATTCTTCCTCCAAAATAAAAATAAAAGTGGAAGTTTGCTATAGCAGGATACAGTGCTGAAACATCCTCCATGTTAAATGACATCAGTAATTAAGCCTCCATATTTTTATTACTGGCAGGTGCTACTACCAGAAATTAAAAATTATGGAAGTGAGGTCACAGATTCTTGTAAGATTATATTTCTTGTTTTCAGTCTTTCATATGACAGACCATAGATTGTAGAATGGTTTGGGTTGGAAGAGACCTTCAAGATCATCCGCTTCCAACCCCCCCTGCCATGGACAGGGACTCCTTCCATTAGACCAGGCTGCACCAAGTCCCATCCAACCTGGTCTTAAACACTGCCAGGGATAGGACAGCCACAGCTTCTCTGGGCAACCTGTGCCAATGTCTCACCACCCTCATAGTGAAGAACTTCTTCCTAATGTCTAATCTAAATCTACTCTCTTTCAGTTTAAAACTATTCCACCTTGCCCTATCGTTACATGCCCTTGTAAAAACTCTCTCTCCAGACTTTTTGTAGGCCCCTTTAGGTATTGGAAAACTGTTATAAGGTCTCCCGTGATCCTCCTCTTCTCCAGTCTGAACAAGCTCAACTCTTCTATTTGACTCTGAGAAAGCAGAGGTTGACAATGGGGACTGAAACAAGAATTCAGGAGGAAAAGATGAAAGAGGCTGAAGTTTGTAATTAATACATAACAGAAAATCATAGAAATATTTACTTGGCCTAAATTCTCTGGCATATATAAGCGGGGCAGGGGGGGTGGTGCAGAAATTAAGTTCAAGCAATTTTCCTCCAAAGTACAAAAAAACCCCACAAATTTACTACACTGAGAATATCAGCATCCAGAAAAAACATGTATGAAATAGAAAGCAGCTCTGCTGTAGGGCTTTCCAAGCCTATGATAAATAAGAAATTGTTTTTAATGATACAAACACATGAAGCATAAACTCTGAGAAATAACTTCCAAGTGGGAATCCTGATAATTGTTCAGTAAGTAAGACCACACTATAGAGTTAATGGAGGAGGCAGGTAACTTACCTTTTCTCACTAGAGGGCAGTTAAGTCAGAGAAGTAGGCTGCTTTTGCTGTTTGTGACCATCAGCACTACATTGACTAGGCAAGTGTCAGTTAAGAATACAAGCTCCAGGGCATTCTTGACCGTTTCTTAACGAGCAGGACCAAAACCACAATTCATATTCATGTTTCAAATCAAACACACAATGTTCAGAGAAAAAAAAAAACAACTGTCCACAACAGTTATGAAATGCATAATAACCTAACAAGAATGGCTTGGAATAACAGCAGAAAAATTCAGCTGCTTCATTAAAAAAAAAAAATGTATTTCTAAGAGTTAGAAGAGAAAAAGCTGCAAAGCAGAATAGCTCTGCAGATGACAGATCTGTATAGCTCCTGCATAGATGTTTAAATAGGTCCAGTCGTCTGCAAGGTAAGTTTCTCAAGCCTCATTTCCTAGTGTTGAGTCTTAATGCTACCACTTTGAGAATATAGAAGCAAAAGTGACAATACCTTTACTGAATTTAGAATGAAGCCAGGAAGCATCTGGACTGTATGGGCTGTCTTCACTTTCTGATAAGGTCTGCAAAAACAAGGACACACGTCATCGGGATGCTCATGGCTCCTGTGATCAGCACTTCTCCTGTTTGCAATGAGACTTGTAAACTTAAATGGTGACAGAAGTCCTCACAAAACATTCAGCCAGTACTTAGGACTTTTTGCTTTCTAGTTAAAAGGTACAACATAAATGATACAATAAGAACTCACCACCTGCCATGTAATTTCTTATGTAACCAAGTATTCTTAATATTCCCCTAGCATTTCACCTGTACAATGGGAACATTAGCTAACCATTCATCCCTGAAAGCTTTGCTAAAATTACAGCGTCATGTTGAGTAACTAAGAGGACAGCATTCTTTAGAAACCACAGTCTAATCTGGGATCTACCCAAGGCCCTCTGAATTCAGAGTTCTTTCTATTGACTTCAGCTACACTCTAGGCCATCCTGCCCTCACCCTCATTTATACTAGCTCTGGTAAAGAATTCTAATATCTATGAGCATAGCAGTATTAACTCTGGTATAAAACAAAACTGGGCTTCTTAATAAAGTACCTTTTCTCGGAGGCCATAGTACTCTGCATACCAAACCATGCCATATAAACACAGGAAAGTTGTAAAGGCCTAAACAAGGAAAGAGAAGAAAAATAATCTGTAAAACTTCTTTCCAAATTTATTGCTGGTTCAAGGTCTCAGAGTCCCTGGAGATTCTACATTCAGAGACTCACGCTCTTTCTCTCTTCATCTTTTGACAGCATGAGTAAGACTCATGCTTCAGCTGCAAGGTACACATACATTCTGCCACCGTGGGGTGTGCAGACCAATTCTCAGCAGAACCATGAGAATACATACACATCACCCACACGCATGCATTATGGTTCTTGTCTTCACCCGGTACAGTCATCATACAAAGGCACTTGTATGTATATTATCAGGGACAACCAGTGTGCGAGAAAAACTAATTCTCCTTCAGGCTGGGTTACATGTTTGGTTTTGTGGTGCTCTGATCTCAGGAAGCAATTCAATGCTTTTCTGAAGTTTCAGGAATAAAATTGTCATGCTAAAGAAGAGAACAACACAATCCGACTCCCTATTACCTGTTCAAACTGTTCCCAACTAGAAGGGAGTACTTATCTGTCAGCCAATTATAAATGCCTTATTTTTCACTGATGATTAAAAATGTGTTTGGCATCAGAGTTACAAGTATGGCAAGACAGACATCCATTTACTGTTATAAAATGGGCATTTCCTGCTGCATTTGCAGTAATCACACTAAAGTACAGAAAGTTGCAGGCTGAGCGAGAATGATTTGCCTGATAAAACAGGGTTCTTTATGTCATTGTAAGACTTCAGTGTGAAACAACATGCATTACTTATTAATGTTACTCATTAACTCCTGTTCCTTTCCAGTGGATACTATAGCAAGTACCACTAAAGTTAGCTTCATTCAAACTCACATTTTATCTCATAAAGCACCCTAAAACTACTGTTTGTTTAATCATTAAACACTGTTAAAGTGACTATATTCTGCTATTTGAATAAATAAGAAAAGTTATTCTAGTCCCTTTAAAGCGTGTTCTAAACAAACTAGCATTTGCTTTTCCTAGTACATGCACAGAGCTCTTTACTGGAATTCCCCCCACAATGATCCCCTGCTGCAATGTTCCAGAGAGGAAACTCTTTAGATGCTTTCAATGCTTTTGCCATGCTTTATGTTTCACATGAGAAATCTCACTTACCACACAGAGAAGCCAAAACACAACGTACAGTATTTGTGTTTTGGAAAAAAGATCCTGTCCAAACTTTATGCACACAATAGCTTCAAGGAAAGCAATAACCCTGTGGGTAAATGAAAGACAGAGGAGGGGGTAGAGTGGTTACAAACACTGAGGATTTAACTCACATGTTCACAACCCAGACCTCAGACCATCAACAATAAACAAGCACTACTCTCTAGCAAGCGCTCCAACACCACCATTAACTGAAATTCTTTGGGAAATTTATTTTTCTTTCCATAATTTTCATCAGCATGAACAGCATACAAAAGCGATCAGCTGGCAGTTCACAATTCCATGAGCCTCTGTTTGTCCAGGGAACAAACAGGAGTGTGAGCCAACAGCAGAGATTTCTATTTATTCCTACCACCGTGCTTCAACCCTCAGCAGACATAAATTTCTCTTCTATACTGAACAAGCAACAGACTCCCTGCTGGGAGAACTAGAACTGTGCTTTGGGTATTTCATTACTGGATGTAAATTTACTACAATTCTAAATAGGCTACTTGGCTTAATTTTCTCACTAAAATCCATCTGAATTAACATGAAAAAGCATTTAAAATTCTCCGAGATTCCACGCATTTGCTCTGGTTTATGTGTAAACTCAGGATCCACAATATAGTAATCAGAGGTTTTCAGGAAAAATCTGAGAGGAAATACTACAGTATTTATTTTCCTCTCTGGCATTATAAGAATAAAACCAAGTATTTCTGGCTCTCTCCCTGTTATCAGATGTGTGCATCTTTTCAGGCTCAAAGCTATGGAGGCTTGTCCACCACTTCATACAATAGGTCATGAATCTATCACCTGCCATGGGAATATATTTAATTTGTATAGGTCCTGGACAAAAAAAAAATTACGTATTTTTAACAAATACCAGTGTAGAAACATGACTGGTGCAGGAAGAGTGTAGAAAATTGACTCTTCTCAAGCTGAAGCAAATCATGAACTATTAATCTTATAGAAGTTTAATACTTGCTCAATAATGTTCATATGTGCTACCTTGAAGACACATGCATGAAAACTACTCCTCAAACACATGCGGGAACACTTAACATCAGGTCAAGTTCTCCAGTCACCCAAACACACCACCACTGGACACATTCTCTACCAGCACTCTCCATGACCAGAGAGCTGTCAAAAATGGCTCTCTTGCTTGGCAGACAGGACCTAGCTTCTTCCATGAAGGAGGGAGGAAAGATGTGTGCATGACTTAACCACTGGTTTTGTAGAGATGGTCTCGGTGAAAATAACAAATGATGGCTTTCTCTGTATCATCTAATGTGATTTACAGCACAATGAGTGGGGCCAAAATTAAGAATCATGGAATTAATGCCTTATTGACCAATACTGCAAGTACATATTAGTAAAAATGCAAGTGCATATTAGTAAAAACTTGAGAGCAGTGTTACTCTACTGGATCACCAATTATTTTTCTTTCTTGGCTTTGTACTATTCTTACTGATCAAGCTGCAGATTAGAAAATAGTTAAACTGAACTCCAGCAGCGGTAACAAAGACCACCACCAGGAAACAACCATATGATGGCATGATATACTAGAAGGTGTAAAACAATAGGCTACTTTCAACAAGGACTCAAAAAATTATACAACTGTGTGCTGCATTTATACATTCTTTCCATTGTTCTTGTCAAGAATGCTTGGGTTAAGCACATTGTACAACAGGACAGCTCTTACAGTTAAAGAGGTGGCAAATCGAAAGACGGAAAAATGCTAACAATGGAAGGTATTAGTGTCCTACTGAAGGGTCATGAGAATACTCCATAGAATTAAAGACACTAAGTGTTATTCAGTCAAAATGGCCTTATAACATCCTAACAGATATCCCTTTTTGAAAGGCTTCACCTTAATGAAAATGGTGTAGTTTCCAGAAGAGCTGTTGCACTGGCCTTGTTTATGCCTTGTATCACACTGACTGTCCATCTATTGAGAGTGCTGCTACAGTATATGTTGAGTCATAGAGCACAGTTTCGTACTAATCAAGACACTAATTTTAATTATTCCCATGGTTAGGCTGTTACAAATTCAGTTTGTGCCTTTAGAAGTGTCTTAATCGACACAGCTACGAGTATTCTATATAATTGCTTCTAATTGCTTCAGAAATTATATTCTGGGTAATTAATCTTCTGGGAAATCCCTACTTTTCCAACAGACAACAGGAACTCCTGGTGTTACTCTGTTTTTTTCTGCAAATTAAAGAAATAAGCAGTATCAAGGATAATACTCCATGCACACTTCCCGCAATTAGATGGGACTATAGATGAATATTCTGTTGAAGTTCTTGTTATGAGATTATAAAGAAATATTTGAGCATCTATTTATTGACATGTGACATTAATGTGTTCAGAGAGAGCTTTGAATCAAGGATAAGGGTTTCTGCAATACTTAATTTTTTAGAGCCAGAAAGTAAACATTCAGCATCGTATTTCCCTTTGGTTTCCAAAGGAATATGTTTACACTCTTTCTCTTGGATGAAACAGAAATGCATCTTTCTTAATGCAGAACTTGAAAATTCTTCCCCCAGAATTAAAAAATTGTTTAAATGTGTCTGGTATAAAACTCTAAAATTACCATCTATAGTTGAGAAAATTTCCTCTTTCATATAAATATCTCAATTCCTAAACTGTTTACAGATTTCAGTAACATGGCTATTCAAACATGGCTCTCCAAAATATTAATACAGTTGATCTGCAACTACTAAGATGTTTTTGCACAAACAGAGCAAGGTTATTTGATTCTGATTGTAAATTAAATGGTAATATTAACTGTGCAATTAATGAGTTACCTTCAGTACTAAAAGCGTGCTCCATACCAAACCCAGAAAGACAGGTTACTCTGCCAGAATCACTTGAAAAGTTCCTTTTTAAGGAGTGTGTATTTTACAGACCCTCTTTAGGAATCATAATATGTGTTTTGAGGAGAGGGATCCTCCTTAAATAAGGAGTTTTAGGCTTACAGAAACTACTATCAACTCCTACACAGCACCAGTAAAACTAGACAAGAACAGTTACCACCTTTTGTATGTAAATGGATGTTACAGTCCTGAGTTTAATACAGTAAGGAAGGTGGTAAGTCAGTGAAAGAGGTTGAATATTTAAGCCCAGTCAAACCCAGGAAGACATGTGTCACCTTGTCCAGGGTACATTAAAGCAAGAGTAGAAACCCCTTCAATTACACTGCAGTATGCTTTGCTCTCATCTCAACTGAATGTTAAGAAAGGGATATTCTTTATCATGGTGTAGTGCATGTGGAAACAAGGCTTCCAGCCCAGCACTATTCCTACAGACTTTGTAACGTTCCAAAGACTAACAGTAAAGATAAGATAAGTTTGCCCAGAGCACTGTCTGTAAACTAGACCTAAGTATTTAATGGCTCATTGAAATGCCATTCCAATCTAAAACAGTACTAGATTCTTCTATTAAACATGAAAATGGTTCAGACAATTCTGGAAATCAAGCATGCACTAATCTTGACAAAGAGAATGAAATGGCTGGTTTTATTTAGAATAACTGCCATCAGAAATTAGCTTCTTGAATACTTTCTTAAAATACATTTTTTTTTTTTAAGATGTGATTTAGGATCTTGTATGTTGTTTTCTCTTGTGTAAGCTTCCAAGCCCTAAATCAAAAGGGACACTACTACACTGCTTTATTACAAGAAGCTTTTGCAATGCTACAATAGCATATGCTTCAGGTTTCCAGAACAGTAAGTTTTAGTCAAGCCATCTGGAGAAGGAAGTTCTCACCAGAAGCAATCATGCAAACTCTTCATTTAATGGTCTCCTCCAAGAGATATGTTGAAAGACATTGTAAGTAACCATTATTTGTAGTATCATTCCTTTCCCTCTTTGAGAATGGAATAGAAATAGATGATAACTATGGTTTGTTTCACTGTCTCCTGTTGTGATTCCACTAACAGTAGCAATGCCCACCTTGATAGCCAGGTAAACAGTGCTCTGATGACAGGCAAGTGGTAGAAGCAAAAGCTTTATCCTTCTCACCTGACTGAGAATATGGGCAGCAAAGCCAATGCTACTTTGAAAGAGCCTAGCTTTATCCAGCAGTTTCTAGTTCTTCTTTCTGTTCTTCTCCTTACTCATTCCATCATTTCCCATGTTATACCTCCAAATCCAGAATTTTCCTTTCCTCTGAACTTGCAAAAAGAAAAAAAAAATAAAGAAAATCTCTCTATACTGTTCCTTTATACTAAAACCAACACAAGACAAGGACTGGCTTCATGCAAAGCCTGTTCCCGTGCTGGACTCACACTGAACATTTGTCCAAGTGCTTTAAGAATGCATCAAGAACACTTACCCGAACACCCAGCACTGAGTTCCCACCCTCTTGCACTGTGTATCTGTGAGGTATGCATAGTATTGCCTGAGAAGGAAAATGAGAAAGTTCTTCAGAGGATTTACATTTGGAAAACAAGTTTATGTTACAAATGTATCTATACTGAAAATGAAGTGCTGATGGTTAAAATCACATGCACTCATGCTGGATGTTTACCAGATGGCTTCAACTCTACTAGAACCTATTATTGCATAGATCAAATAGCTCAAAACAACACAGAAAATCCTGAGAGCAAGGACTGGGAAAGCACCCAAACTAGTAGGCTAACAAAGCTATATATTTGTCTCCTGCCTCTCCACTGAATCTCCAATTCTTCTGGGCAAAGTGCAACAACTTTGGAAGAATTAAGAGAATTCCCCACTTCTTCCACAGTCTTTAACTTACTAACAATTGCATTTTCTTGAGAGTTACAAGTTTGAATCTTGAAAGAAACTGAATATAGCTACTCCATGTCCTGGGTGAGTGGTCTAACCACTGGCATGTTTTCCTCTCAATAACAGAAAAGAATTTCTCACTAATTTCAAATCAGTCTGCAGATCATTCTGCTCTGTTCTTTATGCTCCCAAATTTTAGGATCTTAGAGGGGGGGATTCCAAAGAAGCGAAACCAAAGCTGTTCTTCTCAGTCTCTGATTTCCAATGACAGATAAGAAAGACAAATACTATTAATCCAACAATAAAGGGATTGTTTAAGAATAAAGACTTCAATAGGATGGCAAGTGCCATTAAACACTTAAAAGCTCACCTTTAGGTGCTTTAAGGATGTTTAAAGTGATTTAATTAACAGTGTGAAATCACTGCGCATAACTTCATTAAGCCTAACGTTAACAGCTGTATTTTGGGAATAAACCAATTCATGGTTGCCATTTAACTGTTCAAAGTAACATCACTTTACTCATGAATGGTAAATACCCTGCCTCTTAACTTCAGCACTGTGTGCATTCTATCTACCTCCAGCTATGTCACAGGACAAAAAAAAAGACAACTCTATTAACAATGTGAAATACTGTGCATGACTAAAAGCAGGTTAGTGTTTTTATAAAACTATTAACACCGCATATATACTGTTGTGTTACTCGGAATATGGTAATGCTCTGTCTTTTCACATAACATGCTAATATTTCCAGTAGACAAACAGAATAAGCATCTCAGAAGAACCAACAACTCCTATTTTTCCTCATCTACATTTCTGTGAGCACCCGATTCACCAGCTTGGATATTTTCTCACACAGACCTCAAGGATAAGATATGCAGCTAACTCACGAAAAAGGGAGATGATCACAGAATCCTAAGGGTTGGAAGGGACCTCAAAAGATCATCTAGTCCAACCCTCCTGCAAGAGCAGGGTAACCTAGAGTACATCACACAGGAACTTGTCCAGGCGGGCCTTGAATATCTCCAACGTAGGAGACTCCACAACCCCCCTGGGCAAAAATGATATACAAACAGAAGATAGAACAGGATGGTTTTGCATCCCTATGGAAACACATTTGTACACATTATACCTTATTAATTTACTTGTCAGAAAATACACTTTACTGAAAAGCAATGACTGTTTTGCTTTTTTGTGGTAGCAAAAGCATAGATTTCTTGAAATGTGCTGTACTTGCCCACAAACTATTGCAGTTCTTGGGTGCCTAGAAGTCAGACTACTTTAAACTGAAGAACAACCAACATGGCAACAAAATTACCTTACAGTGGGCGCTGTAATGATTCCTATGAAGAGAATTCTCCCCCAGCTTAAAGGGTGGCTTGCTTGGAACACAAAGATATGTTTCAGAAAGAATGTGTTCAACTCAGTCAGCTAGGGAAAAAAAAAATAAAAAAATGTTAGCCAATAGCATACAAGTTATGTGCAGGTATTAATATGGAAACTAAAACACAGAAGGAAAACTATTTATGCCCCACTATAGCCCTGCTGGTTAGATCAAGGATTCCTGCTCTAGGACAAGCACGGAATACACCAGTAAACCAATGAATCTTCCCCTAGACACCTCTGTGAAAGTATTCACTCTCTTTCCAGAAACTCATTAAGGGACCAGACACTAATTCACACTGCAGAGGTCTTTTAATAATTTTCATATCTTAAATCAGGGTAAATAACTGAGGCAAATTTGGTAGAGAAGAGAGCATTAAATGGAAAAAACCAAACAAACAAACAACAAACAACAAAAAAACAAAAACCCCAATAATAGAAAACCCCCAAACCAGAACAAAAATCACCACCACAAAAAAACAACAAAAAAAAAAGTGTATCAAACACTTCCAATTCTCCTTTTAAAAACTAAATTCAGCAGACTAAAAAGACATTTTAGTGAAGACTGCTAGTATTTGCACGGCCAAAACAGTTGAGACGTATCATACTCTTACTAGATCAAGGCCAGAATTCTAAGTATCAGTGATCCATTCAACAGTCAACAGGAAAAAAAAACAACCACCACCAAAAAAACCTCCAAAACACAAACACACCAAAAAAAAAAAAAAAACCCACACAACCAAACCAAACAAAAAATTCGCCCACCCTAAAACCCCGCTGTATAGCTGTCGTGGTTTAAACCCAGCCAGACAGCTTGTTCACTCACTCCCCCCCCTTCTTGCCCTCCCCCTACTCCCAGAGGGACAGAGAGGAGAATCAAAAAGAATGCAACTCCCACAGGTTGAGATAAGAACAGTTTAGTAACTAAGGTATAACACAAATCACTACTGCTACCGCCAATAATAATAATGATAAAGGGAATAACAAGGGAAGAGAACACAACACCTCATCACCAGCCGACCGAAAACTCGCCCCCCCAGCCCAACCAAGCAACGATCGATACCTCCTCCAACCCCGCAGTCCCTAGCCCTTCCGGGTAACCCTCAGTTACATCCTAGGCATGACGTGCTGTGGTATGGAATACCTCTTTGGCTAGCTTGGGTCAGGTGTCCTGTCTCTGCTTCCTCCCAGCTTCCCCTCCTCCCTGGCAGAGCGTGAGGCTCAGAAAAGTCCTTGCCCAGACCAAAACATCAGTGTTATCAGCTTTGTTCCCAGGCCGAAAGTAAAAAACACTGCACTGCACCAGCTACCAAGAAGGAGAAAAATGACTGCTACTGCTGAACCCAGGACAATAGCGGTTCTTAAAACTGCATCAATTGCAAAGAGCAATCTGATGACCAGTATAGCAATCTGTAACATTTGGGTTTTCTTCCCCCACAGATTCTGTAATTGCACTTCTGAACTATCATGTAACTCCTGTGAACAATGCCCTGACCAATTCTGTATTATCAATTCCTTTATCTGTGTATTTCAAAGACAGACATACATTGCATTAGAGGATCTTCTGGCCAAACACAGCCAGTAAGTAACTGAGCTGATAGCAGCTTTGATTTCACAGAATTTCTTACCTGCCAAATGATCATGAAAAGGTAGATTCCAGCCACTCTTTGAAATGAAGACTTAGGGTCAAACCAGCGGACATAGGTCCAGCTGGCTGGTGTGAACTGTAATACAGCTCTTTTGATTTTCCCTGTGGTCGTGTGAATGTCCCTAAAAAAAGAAAACAGCTGGAGTAAATATGACGAACATGCAAGGGGAAAAAAATAATAATTAAAAAAAATGCAATAACCATGTTACTGGTGTTTTGGAACAATCACACTGTTCTGCTGGACAGCAGAGAAGTTCACAGACACCACAGCGTACCAGGCAAGGGTGAATTAAGAAATATACTCTATTAGGCATTTCAGTAAGGGTACATTCCACCCTGAAGTCCACCCTCCTCTACCCTCAGTCAGTAACTAACTACAAAACGTACCTATCATTCTCCCCATGAAGGGAAGAAATGAGGATTGCAATGCTGCAACTCCTTTGGAAAAATTAAAGGGTACTTCTTCCTAATCTATGCTGTCATTGCTCATATCCCAAAGGCTCCTTGTTCTACAGCTCACCGACATCAACCCTTCAAGAATCTGTCAGATTCATTACTCATTAATTGTAGGAGGGGCTGGCTCCACAAGTCTGAAAACAGTGCACTTCCAGCACACACAACCCCTGATGTTCTGCCATTAGAGGCATGCAAATCTTCTGAAGAGATCCGATAGCACTGCTAAAAGTTAGAAGGCTTTTAAATTCCCTTTTGAAAAGGGATGTGAATGGAAGTTCATCTGGCAGAAGTGCTACTAGTTTTTGGTTTTGATAACATTAATTCAGATGAGAAACAGCATTCATAGGATGGGGAGTCTAAGAAAAACTCAAGTTTCCTTTTCTGAAGGAAGACTAGCAAGGCTACAAAAGTCAGTTTTCACCCTGTTATTTCCCTGGCTCTTCTGGACAAAAAAAAACAAAACTAAAAGATACTCAGATTTGATATTTCTGATATCTGTGTTCCTTTAGGCTAGTAGGATCTTAGAAAATGGGGAACTTTCTAATCCTTAAGATCTGTGTTTATTCAGGGAAGAAAAAAAATAAAAAAAACACAACAAAAGGGCAAATGCAAAAGCTTCTTATTCTATGCAGCTCCTGTTCATATTAAAGATCAAAAAATATACCCATGCACGTAAAAGAATGGTAGGAAAAATTACGTCACAAAGACAGTAAAGACTAGCCCTGCCATAGGTATTCTGCTGCTTTTTCAGTGAACTCTCTAAAAACAGAGGGACCAACAACTCTGATGAAAATGCAGGAAAACTGAATCGAGATTGAAGGCTGAATGGTTCTCAGAGCAGCTAACAAATTTGTGAGTAAGAAAAGCAAGCAGTACAGAAGTTCATGTAGGATACAAATTTGGAAGCCAAGATTTGAGCTCCTTTTCCATCCCCCAAAGCAATATCCTTTGGCTTTGTACTTGATCTGTTTCATCCGTACCATTGGCAACATGCAGGTAACTACCCCTGCCACCAACTGGCAGGGAAGGCAGGAGAGGGATAACAAAAACTATGGATGAAACTGGACAGCTAGGAACTATACTTAGTAGGCCAGAAGCTGTGGCCCTTTTAACACAACAAATGCCGCTTTATTTTGCAATTACTCCATTTGTTTTAGAGGATCAGCAATGGAGTAAGACAATTCACAGCAAAGGTACAATCAGCCTGATTATTCTTCTGCAGTAACAGCTAGTGCTGACAAGATTGCCACACTAATGCCTCATCAAGGTGAGCCCAAATCTAGTTTAAAAATATCATATAATGAGAAAACAATTACAGTTTTTTTTCACTGCCTTCTTCAAAGTTTTGCTTGCACAAAATGAGCTGAAAATGCAAACAGCTTTATTACTTCATATTTTCATTTGACATTAATGCTTGTAACTTAGATTGCAATGGAAAATTATATATACATAACCATATTTACAAATATATGTTGCACAGTAGCATTACTATGAGATGGATTTTTTAAAATTTAAAATAAACCTACAGCACTGCCAGCACATGTAGATGCATGCCCCCTCTACACCACAGAGCACTTTAGATATGCAAAGAAGGAGGTCTATTTCCCAAGGAAATTAATTTCATATTATAACATTAAACATAATGTTTATTTTAATTTAGACCTACTTGAAGCTTGCCCAGTGATAGGTCCTCATCTCCAAGAAACGACAAACTACCATGCCCAACCAGATGCCACCCCCGTTACAAAGCAGGATGTCCAAAATTACTTGATCCCACCAGCATTCAGCAAAATTAGGCAGAAGGTGCATGAAGAAGAGCTACAGAATACAGCAAAAAGATTCTGGGTGAGGAACAGTACAGAATTCACACAAATTCACTTTTCAAGTACACATTCAAAAATCAGCTTTTCAGTGCATGTCATACTTCAAGGACATGAGCCACAATCACTGAAATTTGATGGGCATCCTTCCATTAACTTCAGAAGGCCTTGGATCAAACCACAAAAGACATTAGAGGTTTCCTTCTCACTGTTCCCTGTTGGGGCTATGTGTACATAAGGATATCAGGTAGCACTTGGCCTCTCAAAAGATGATACACAAAACATTCATAGAAATGCATGAAACAAGCAAAACTACTTCATTCCCTGGGGAAAGAAAGTGTTTTGTGCTAAACTGAAGAGCATCTTTGGTTTATTCTTGATAAATAGTTTTAAGAATGTTTTCTAAACCAGCAACAAGATGCAATAAGTAAAATGAATGCATTTGTAACAACTGTCAGTATTAAGCATATTGGAGTTCAGGGCTTAAGACTTTATTTCAAAACTCTTGCATTTACTATTTTTAGGAAATTGAGTGACTGTAAAAAGATTGAGACATCACCAATATTTCAGAGACTACAAACTTTGCTACTACACTTGATTCAGAATGGCTCAAGTTTGAGGAGATATTCCTGCTTGGTCTATGCTAAACACTAATGATGAAGGTACTCATATGATTAAGATACTGGAAAAAAAGCCAGAAATGAACCAACATCAGATTTTAAAGCTGACACCGACTGGACATTCAGTTTCTTAAGTATTTCCCCTGGAAACTTCAGAAATCATTTACCTCTGAAGAAATCTGTTTCTTTCTGAATACCACTATGAGGCATTAGTAAGGCAATTAAATGTATTTATAGATACATTTGATGACTTTGCACTTTTATAGCGTGAAGAACAAGTGGCCAGAGTTAAGGCAAGATGTAAACATGCTACTGAGAGGTAGCAAGGGATTCAGCACCTCTCACTGTCCTTGAAGAGAAAATAATATCCTCTATTCTACAGGGAAAATCACAACAACCAAAAAATAGGCTGAAAAAATTAGCTGTGGACTGGATATCAAGACAGCCATGTGTTAAAGCAGTCCCCTTGGAATCCTCAAGGAGATGCTTAACAAAACACAGAGCAAAATAATGAATACTCTTACTTCCAGAAAAACAGTACCATTTTTGTCAATTAATGTACATACACTGTGGCTGTGGAACATCACTGGTATGACTTTGTAATAAAGTATCTTTTGTTAACAGATGTATAAATATTAAAAAAAAAACCAACCAAACAACCCAGATCCAGGAAAAGGAACAAGGTTTTCTGTAAACAGCAATGAATACTGGACCATTTATAATAAATTACAGTGACCAATATAGGCCATGACAGTTCCTGTGAAAACTCTTGCAAAAGTTTATCAAAGCAACTCGATTTTCTTTGACAAAGCAATGGAAATTTCAACCTGTAGAAAAGAAAATCTGTCTTTCTCTTCATGCCCCAAGCTATACAAAGTTGCTGATTGTCTTGCTACGGTTTCCCTTTCATATTTTAAACTAATTTAATCTGAAAGGGGCAGTAGGCTACAAATCTCAATCTCCAATAATCCAGCCAAACCCATCAGAAATTATAGATAACAAGGCAGCAAAAAACAGCACAGAGGTGTTAGCCAGACTATCTCTAAGGTGCTGTTTTCTCAGAATGAGACACCAAGGTCCGCCTGCATCCCAAATTCAATCTGATAGCATGAAGCATGAGCCAAGTGTCCCATTTCAGAACAGGGAGCCAGCTGAAATCCATTAACGTTAACAGGAGATGCATAGCTAAATCCCTGTGTAACTGCCCTGATAACTTCTGTAGGTTTCCAATGACTCTCCTGAATTAACTAATTCATTAAAAATCCATCTGAGTGGTGATAACCTCTCTATATGTTGAACCTTACCCAACACACTGTCTGTTCCAATAATCTGCTTTTCAACAACAGGGAATACTAGACACCCCATGTGGTATCAAATTGAAGATGATGGTTGTGCGATGATCAACTGAACGATAAGAGTACATGTGAAACAAATCCAAATTTATTCTTTTCCAGAGGGAAAAAATTAGTACAATAACCAGCAAAGTTGGTTTTTACAGATGGGAACTTGTGAAATTCCAGTCTTAAGTAGTTTCAAAATAGCTCAGAAAACAGCATAACCTTCAATGTCACAGAATAAAAATGTGTTTGAAAATACTGGTGCCATGAGTTGCTTTTCAAAACTCAGAAGATTTTATACAAGTAAATCCTTATCTGTGCTTCTGACTGATAAATGCCTTGTCAGGTGAGCCAGGCATTCTCAAGACAGCAGCCTCTATAGAAAACTATGATTTTTAAGATCAAATTCAGGTGTTTACACCCACACTTACTAAGTGTGACAGGTTAGACCATGCTGTCCCAAAAGCAGAATCTAAATTGGATTTTCAATTTTTTTCCTCTGAATTGCCCAATCAAAAAATTCAATGAAATTAAACTCTTTTATAGAAATGCATCCTTGGGTCTGACATGACACATATTCTACTAATCAAGCTCTAAGTTACATGCAAATGAAAATAATTAGAGTAGCAATTAATCAGCTTGAATTCTTAAAACAGGTCTAACAATAGGAACCACTAGTCCAAGCAACAGTTAATTGACTGAAGCAAGTCAAGTATTTTTTCTTTGTTTTTTTTTTAATCCAAAATAGGACTTGAAAGTGCCAACAGTCAAATTACTTACACAGCTGCTTAGGAGAACTGCAGTAAAGCTTGATAGTGGTTCTCCAAACCATGGAACAAGGGACTACACCATGCATGAACTAGCTTAGATCTAGGTCAAGTAAAAAACTCACATATTTATGTCAATGAACGACTTAACTAGGCTTGTGGGTACAATTTAACAAAAGGAGGGCTGTAAGCTCAGGCCTCATGACAGAAAACAACACATTGAATGATGTTTTGCCATTCCATGTAGACTTCTGCTCATAGGTCCTCACACCTTCCTTGGTGATCTCTCAGCTCCACTGTACTTGACAGTATGCATGTCTATACACAGCACCTAACAGTGTTGTATTTGGGATAAGGAGACTGTGACAGTAGATCACAGATATTGCAAGGTGAAAAAGGAGAACAACTGCTCTGAATCAGAGAATATTAATCAACATCTGAAGTACCATGGGTGTTGAATCTGTCGACTCCCGGAACAACAGAAAAACAAATTGTGCGTGACACCAATAGGCTGCCCTAGAGCTCCCTCCTATTCAAGTGGAAGTAAATCACCTAAACCTCAGTTTGCTGTTGTCCAATAATGCAACTGCATCAATTGCTCAGCATCTGGTTTATAAGGCTTAAAATGCAAATCTGTGACTGAGAACTAGTGAACTGTCCTTCCAGTAACATTCACACTTCCCCAAGAACAATTCAAGTCTCACACATTTACTTCCAATTAAGATAAAGGTGTGGCCTACCTCAGTGAGCTCCCAGGTGATACTAATAGTCCAGCACAGCCCATAGCTGCGGATCAGCAAAGCCTTCATAGCCCAGCCCCAGAAATGCCCAAAAGCAAATATATCAAAGTGGCTGAGGATTCTCTCCCAGGTGATAACATGACAGTTCACAGCATACTCCTGTTAATGAAAAAAAAAAAAAAAAATCATCTCAATCAGCAGGCTGGTTCATAAGCACTGGAATTAAGAAAATTCTTTCCATCCAGTGCAACAAGCCTGAAATTATAAGAATATTAAAATAAGCACTATTCTGCTTTCTTGTCCCTCTAAATTTTCTGGAGCAGAGAGTTTAAACTCTCCTCAGAGAGAAATGAAAACTTTCAGTATTAAGACTCAGTATCACCACAGTTACAGCTCTAATTTAAAGATAGACCTTGGTGCCTGAAGGAACATGCATTTCTAATGTGACAGAGGAGCAGCAGGAGCAATAAAATCAACACTAGTAAAATCAGCAAACAATATTCCAGAAAAAAAGAAAAAAAGCTTTTCTTTGTGGGTCCTTATTTGACATAACCACCTTCCCCCATTTTCATGCAGTCTGGTGTTCAGATGTGGCTCACAAGTGGCTAATCCTCACCAGTTTGTAACGCTATGTTACTCATCTCATTGTTCACTTGATTATCTTTTGTGTTCTGTTTTCCTCACGAAAGCAATTTCCCAGACCACATTCTGAGAGAAAGTTCACTTACATGGCTGAATTACTTAATTAAATAAATAAAATTATAGAGAAGTTGCAACTGTTTTGTCACAGATGAGGAGCAGATTCCTTAAGAATATAAATATTTTAGCCATCCGTAACAAAAGAAATGTTTTCTCTTGCCATGTTGTACAGCAAGTGTTAGAAATCACTGCCAAACAACAAAAAAATCTCTATGCCATCAGGAGTCTGCATCTGTGAGGCTCTGTCTTGTCACTGGGCACAAACTGAACTATTGCCAACTGGAAACAAACATAAAAAAAAACACAAAACAAAACAAAAAAAACCCTCTGCTGTCCAACATTCCTAAAATGTACATTGCCACCTGCAGGTGACAACACAGCACTGCTTCCTTAGTGCTGTTAAGAGATTCTCTTTCAGACCAGAACTATTGCTAATCTTTCACAAATGAATCACGACCAAGTTGAAAACGGGATGGCAGAGCAAGGCTTAAATCCCGGTCTCTCTAAAGAGAAAAATGCAACAATTTCACACAAATACTACTTTAGCCCCACTGTGCTTGTGCTCTCTGAAGTGAAATCATGGTATTGCTTCTCATACATGCCAGTGCTGCTGGTCATTCAGAGAAAGCTGCATCACCTGTCCTGAGGACAGCAAAGCTGCCGCTTTAGTACATGTACCCCAAAACATCTAAAACTGGCTCATTTCACAGCATGAGAAGCACAGAATTCACAAAGGAAGGCACAGGCTCCTAGCTACACCGTGATATCTGAAACTCTAATGAGTGAGCAACAGCAAGGTTACTAAAAAAAGTAAGCTTTTCTTCAGGGCTTTTGCTTTTTTGTTCTTACTTTTTCTAGGGCTTTTCCCCTCTCTATCTCATCTTTCCAGCTGCGGCTCTGCCAGTCAGTGAAATGCACTGAACTTTCTTCTATACTCAAGCAACTTTGCCAGCCCTGTACAAAAAAAACAAACTGCAGCCTTCACTGCAGTTGCACTTTAAAGATTTGCTCCAACTTTAAGGGACAGTATCAGGATTGCAAAGTACTACAGAGTAAGTTTCTGCTAACTACAACAGTACGGTGGTTGTGTGCCAGTAAGTAATATTAGTCCTCCCCTGACTTGAATCTATTTATTTCTAACTTAGATGACAGGAGAGCCAGGTGAATCTGACCTGCCAAGACTCCTCAGCTCCCTTTTGTTGCCCAGCAACATCATCAAGCACCACGCTCATGCTCCATTTTGCAATGTGTCCTCCCACAACCCTAACAGCAGGCTGCCCACACCTCACCACCACACATCTCCTGCAGGACAGAAATTCACAGCCCTATTCTGGACGCTGGAGTTGTACAAAATGTACTGCTGAGGTGCAACACTTGGAAGTATCCAAAGTTTTCTAGGTAAGGAGCCTGTGAGCAGCCCTCACTATCAATCAACTTACATAAGCTTACTGCACTGTAAAGATTTTCATTCCTGCTAAAGAGCAGGAGTTTGCAGCCACTGCTGATTAGGTGCTGTGCAGTAGTTTGCATATGCAGAAAATTGCTGTTTGCCAAAGAAAAGCAATCAGTGTATTTCCTTACTCTTGAGGCACGAGTCTGATAACAGCACTCTCATCTCTCCACACAGTAATCCTCTCCTGCTTGGTGCTCAACTGCTCACACCCTCTTCTGCCCGTCTCCCCAGATACCTCACATGCTCTTCCCAGGCCTCCTTTTACTGCCTCAAATCCCTGTGCTAGTGTCCTCACCTGAAAAACAATGTTCTCTGTATTAAAAACTCCTTGCAAGCTGCTCAGCAGGCAGAAGAACAAGCCTGGCTTTCCATGCCACTCCGGATCATGGTCTGTGGAAGTAGTTTCCCAATGGTAACAGCACCAGTGCTTAGCTAGTGACTGGAAGGAAGGCAGGAGAGCCCTGCAGTTGCTGCACCTGGATTTCCACATACTCAGTAGCATGCCAATCATGTACTAAGCTCAGAGCAATAAGGAAAGATCAAAGTTCCTTAAGTGCAGCATTGAGGCATCAAAAAAACCCAACTGATCTGTGACATACACACACACACCATACCAGCCTTATTTAGATACTACCCTGCTAAGTCTGTTTTCAGTATCCAGGCTCATATTTATTGTTTAAAGAAATCCAAAGCCACCCCAGTTCAAACATATCTCACACTCCCAACTGTACACTCACCTGTATTAGAAAAAAAATACAGTGAAGACCATTTTTCACACCAATTGATTATAATGTAAATAAATATGCTCATGGACTCTGTCAAGTATAGGCAGTACAAGTTTGTGCTTATGCCAGCAAATTCAGATTTATACCTTCCCACTCACTCAAAACATGCCTAAAATAGCCAAAATGTCCAATAACGTGCCATGGGTACATACCATAATATCTGCTTCCCTTGTGGCATATCGAAGATTAGGATCCAGCCAGTACATCACTGCTTTTACCTGCTCAAAGTTAAGGAAGAGCACGAACACCAGGAACAGAAAATAGAGCACACTGAGACCTGCAAAAAAGACTCAGCTTTAAAATCATGTTCACTCACAGCACTCCTTGGGACATAGACTCCGAAAACCTGCTATCAAACTTTTGCTCTAGACGTGCCCAGTTTGCACAGATAAATTTTCTACATATGGCAGTTAGTTGTAAAAAAGCTTAAGAAACACAAGTCAGATGGTAATCTCTGAACACTCAGCCCCTTCATATCACCTCCTGTTTCAAGTGACATAATATATGCTTGACTGCATGAACCCAATCCAAACATAAGTTTAATTAGTTCAAACACAAGCACTACACAGCTATGATCAGGAAACTCTTTATTAAGAGATATATTAGGACCTCAGGACTGGATTAGCTCTGTCCCTTTAAGTATTCTTGGTCTCACTAATGCAGGTCCCTAAGCCTACATGTAGAGTTCAACACAAAGATCAATGTAATAATACCACGTGACAATTCTGACCTATGCAGGCAATAAAGAGTACTTATAAACTAATGCATGTTTGAGTTACTTTTGTGAGCTAGAAAATTTGCTGCTTGAAGCTTTTAAAGGTAAAGATTATTCTTATTTGTTTTCACACCATTATAAATTAAAAAACACTATCACATTTGGGACTACTACCTCTCTCCTCCTAATGTCTCAATATGGATTTTTTAAAAAACAAAAAAATTCTGAGAAGTTAAGACTCTGAGGTGTGGGTCTGTGGGCAGATGAAGCCACTGTTGGGAGCATATCTTTACATTATTCAAGTTCACAGATATCTAAGAGCACTTTTGGAAGAGGCATATAGACACTAATACCATTTTCACAGTCTAGCACTCAAACTTACTTGTATCCTGCAGCAATGTCATGGAAAGTAGAAAGATTAATGTGAATAAACTCAGTATCTGCTACCCAAAATAAACCACAGCAATTCAAAAAATGTATTTTCAACTATAACCAGACTCTACATGTTATTAATCCCCAGTGTATGCTAGAGAACAACTTCCATTCAAGTGCACACACATGAACTGAAACATTGTCCTCTGCAATACATCCTAAATATACATCATGTAAACAGAGGCCATACTGCTACAGACGGCACAGCCTGCAGGCAAGAGTGCATCCTGAAGCGCTGAGGACACGCTACTTCTGCCTTTCATCATTTCATGAATAGGTCCAAGACCTCAAGCGTGGCTAAATAAGCCATGCTAGAAGCAGCAGAATTACACAGGGAAAAACATTGTTCTAGATTCTGTATGCAGCCCTTTCCTGAAAGTACAGGGGGTCAAGCTTAGACAGGATCAACACTGAGAATGACCTTTTATTTTCCTTTGCTGAAACCTGAAATGAGCAGTAGGACCTCTGTCTCCCCAAACTTCACAAGGCGCAGGATTCTTTAATGGGTACTACCTAATCAGCAGTATCCTCTCAATGTCAACAGATGAGTAATCAGCTACTCTGGAAGGCTACTTATTTTTAGCTATATAAGGTGTCAGGAGACAGTAACATTTGGTCCCCTTAAAAAGAATAGGATCAGCTTTTAAATCCAGTGTGCCTAATTCTCTGCAAATGTGCTTAAAGTCTGGGATATGCTGAGTGAACCCTGAATTATTTAAAAATAAAGTTCCTTATGTTTTTTCCATGTAATTCAGATATTTAAAGAACAAGAGTTCTCAGTCAATTCTGTAATTAACAATTATTTTCCAAACTATGAATGCAAATATTTACAAGTATTTCTACTGAAATTTTAAGAATAGGAATATATAAATTTAAGTATATTAATGAATGTATGTTAAGCTATACAATGACACAATTTAATTAACATACAAAGTAATAGCATATTTTGTCAATAATGAAAAGCAACACCTTGCTAAACTGGATTTAGTTAGAAGTCAGATAGCATATGCAGTAGCTATTAAAAAAAATCCGAACATTTTTTGGGGTGGAAAAAGATGGCAGTAGGAAGAGTGTGGGGGAAGGAGATTAGGAAGCACGAACACAAAACAGGATTAAAACAGAGTATCAGAATGTATGATTCCTTTCTGGTGATTTAATTTACACCATCCTAACACAGAATAACTACAACATTCCCAAACATAACTAAGAAGAGATTATAGCACTTGGTCAGAAGTGAAAGTGACATTCACACAAGTCTGATGCACAATTATGTTTCATAACAATTCCATTCATCTGGAAGTTAAAGCAAACAGTGCTGCAGAAGCACTGGAGAAGTCAAAAACACAACCTGAACTTACCAAAAACCATCCTCCATATTGCAGGGTGGGGACGTGTAAAGGGTCCTGCGGACAATAAACAAAAAGCTTATTAGAAGACAATCTATTTTTTAATATATCTCACAAGGATTTGGCAGGAGCATGAATCAGTTCTCCACCAAACTATGAAATACACCCAAAAATTGGGGCTCTATGGTAAAAAAAAAAGTTAACAGCAGATTACAGAGAGGAAAATGAGACTGCCAATTAGCAGGGTATAGACAAAATTTTCCATTATTTTCATAGTTATTTCCAGAACAGTAGTAGTCTGTTTGCTCAGGAGACACAATATCCCAGATGTACCCAAAAACTTCTTGATCTGGTTTCTAGACCACACCTCACACATGGCTTGCTCTCAGTGATCAATTATAAATTTCTGTGTGTTAGCAAAGAACCATGGTGCTTAGCCTTCAGACAACCATGAAACTTTATGAAATAGGCCTACTAAAACTTCCAAACTGAGTATATATAGCTGACAAGAAGATATCTATGCTCTTTACCAGTGTCAATATTTACTTTAGAACCAGTGACTAAACTGACTTTATGAGATTAAAAACCTCTCAGTTAATGTGAAGAGCACAGAAGGCAAGACTAGTGAAACTAGAAAGCCTGTAAACATGAATCATACACTTAGGTAGCAAGAAGTAGTTGAACAAATATTCTCAGCACACACTGCAGACTGCTCTTTCACCACTGTATAGATAAAACTCATTTTTCTGTGGCATTCAGTTTTCCAGGGATCACTTTGTGAAAAGTGCGGATTAATGATTTTTAAAACGAGAAAAACACATCCCGGCTCTGAAGCACAAAGCAGCCCTGAGCACAAGTACTGTTTTTTTCTGAGCACTGCTAATCATGAGAGAGTTCAGATTTGACCCAAGAATTATGCTCTTGCTGACAGTAATAAGTAAAAATTAAAGTAATACTATAAATAAAACCCCCCGACCAAAACTAAGCAGTAAGAACATTTCCTCCACAGAATTGTCACACAAGGGGTTTTTTCACCTTTTTGCACTTACTGCTCCTCACACAATTATCAAAACCTTTGCCTAACTTAGCCTTCTACTGTCGAGCCACAGCTTTACATTGTAATGCAACTTAAGAGCATTTCTAACTATCACTACCCTCTGGTAAAGCGATTTATGTAAGCTGTTATATCTCTGCGAATTTGTAGATTGACACTTTTGTTAAAACACACTAAGGCAGACTCCTTTTAAGCATTATTTAAGGATCTGCAGCATCATTACTTCGCAATCTGAGCTGCAACTACGCACCTGCAAACAGAGGCACCGATTCTGAGAACCTCACTTCCTTGTTAGATACAGACAGGCTATAAATAAAACTGCACTTTCCAGTTATCTCCACTCAGTATGACTGCAACCCATTTTTAGACTGTTCCTTAACATAAAGGAATTTAAAAAAGTAAAAATACATTAAAAATGGTACTTCAATAAAAATCAAAATAAATTCAGTGGCAATAAAGAGTAATTAACATGCAACAAAAAAAGTGAAATATAAACAGTTTAAACCTTACTCACCATTAGGAAAAGCTAGAACACTGATGATTAGAAAGAAGAAAATCACAGAGAGGATACCCCTCCAAATATTATCCTCTGGGACAGAATCATCCCTGAAGAGACACACAACATCAAAGTGTTAAAGTACATTATAAGGATGAAGTTGAAAGGCTTTATTATTTAAATAATGACTATATGTAAATTCAGTATAACAAAAAAAAAAAAAGCATGCTGATTATATAACAAATCAAGACAGTAACTGCACTGAATGATCTTCACTGTGCACTTCCGGGTATCACTTTCTCACAAGAGAGTTAAACATATAACCAACACATGCCAGCCATAAGCATTGTTAGAAGTCAATGCAGAAGCAACAACTAAACACAAGGTGAAAAAAATCTTCCTGCTTCTTTCCACTGAAATGTTGACAGAAGCATCATCCAAAGTACATTTACACAGCAGAGACCTAGACCAAAACTACTGGAAGCCTGGATGCAATTCCTAGGTGTCCCTCTCCTATTCTGGTGCTGCTCACAATGCCTTTCACTTCCCTCAGCCTCTTTCCAATGCCAAATGCCTGAGGTGAGTGCAGACAGGGCAGAAACAATAATTACAATCAGCCTTTGGAAATAATAACTGCATGTCTTAGAATTCATGTATAACAGAGACACAGCACAGCTTAGAAGAACCAAAGACAATATCATCTTGCTTTTAGATCTCTTAAGCCAAAGTTCTGAATAAAATACTAGGTATTATTTGTGCTACTGTCATACTATGGCCAGAAGAGAGACCTAACAATTCAGTTTGGAATGCCAAGGCAAACTTGACTGAGCTCTTCTTTCTTTTTGGGCAGGTAGAATATAGTGAACAGCAGTGAGGTTAACAAAACCAAGCCCACCCAAGTTTTATTATAAACAGGTTCTAGGATACCTTGGCAATACCAATAGAAACAATATTCAGACTATCAAAATGTGTACAGCCAATATTTCATAATGCATTGCCAACTAGAACTGAAATTAAAGTTTTAAATTTGGGTAATTTTCAGGTACTTAGGATCAGTTTATCTATTTAAATATATTCCTTTATTTATTCCCAACCCATGATACCAAAAAATTCCCAGCAAACTTCAGCAGGATAAAGTTCCACCTGGCAGATCATCTGTCACATTTCTGGATGGTTCAGTAAAAAATGTGTGACAGTATAAATGTGCTCCACATTTGACATTTGCTACAGTTACAAAATATTTCTCACTTTGCCGAATTATTTCTCTTTTCCTCAAAATTGAACCTTAACAGCTCCACAGCAGACTTGCATCATTGTGAGGCATTTAAGTACTGTGTTAGTTCAACTGTATGGCAGGAAAAAGTACATTAAACATGAATGGTTTCTCTGCAGGCCTTAGGGACTCCCCACAGAATTTTTTTCTTTAAACCAGCTCAGTCCAGATTTAACAGTCATTTTCCAGCAGCCATGCAGCACAGGCTGACCCTAATTACACCAGATATGAACCCCAAGTTCCAGAGCTTAATTCTGGCTCCCTTGGCAATCTCAACAGCCTCATGCCATCCAGTGTGCTTCCTAGCCAGAGCCTCGGGCTCCAGTGGCTTGGATAGCAAAACCACATTCCTGTTTTAACACACACAAATAACACATGCACACGCTGTCACAGGTGTCACCAAGAGGAGGATTTTCTTTTTCTTTTTTTTTTTTTAAGAAAGAATAGATTACTAGAGTCACATCACTGCACAATTCAGCATGAAAGTGACAGAAGTGACAGTCACTGTGATCGCATCACTTAGTTTCACACCAACTGCACTGAAGGGTCTTCGCCTTTCCATATTAGGGTTCTGGGTACTATTCAGTTTCAGGACAGCTGTCCTAGTCATGTTGGCACCACTTCCCCCTAAAATCAACAAAGATGATGTATGTAGTGTTAAACACCTTGCAGATACCTTTCAAAAGGGACAGACATTCAATCTTCCTGCCAGAAGCAGGTAAAATCGGGAGAGACTCACTTCTGTGCACTAATTACTTAAGGTAAGAATTATAGTATTTGCCTGGAAAGACTATTTACTCCTGCTTCCATAACCCCCTGAAATTTCACACAGAAGCTACTGATTTGTCACCTTTCTCAGTCCTGTTGTTGCGCTCCACAAAATATCCCCCCAGCACCCACGTGCCCTCCTGCTGGTTGCCTCTGGGCTCAGAGAAGCCCACATCCCTCTCTCTAGGGAGGAAGAATACAGGGAAAGCTAGAGCCATCCCATGCCTCTGCTCCAAAGCACAGCCTGGAAGCAGAAGAGCCTGCATCTGGATCACTCAGCATGAAACAACCAAGACATTTGCAGCCATTGTCAGAAGCGCTGGGACATGCTTTAAAAACCAGAATACCCTCCACTCCCAGGTTTAATGTGGAAAAGTTAAACACACATTTCATTTTCTGTATTATTACTGCTACCTGAAGATTACTGCTGTCGGAAGTCTGCATCATCCTTATCTATCAGCTCAAAGTCAGCATCAGCTGCTCCCAGTGATCACAAGGGAGACCCTACATTATTGCTTGGTACATCCAAGGCAAAAGCCTTTTCTACAATATTCTGAAGCCCCACATATTTCTGACATAAAATAATTATAGAAGAGACAAGAAAGACTTTAAGGGAAGAAGAATTTCCTCTGTCTATGCTGAAGTTCCTGAAAAAATACTTTACTTGGCAACATCAGTATGAAACAACATAGAAAATACTCTGTGTAATATGTTTATCAGGAGAGCTATGTCAGCATAGGAAAAGCAAAGAATCACTTGTCACACTTTACTGGGAAGTCTATAATGCCTTACGCCCAGGAGGTGGAAATACAAACACAAGCCACTGGAGACTCAGTGCAGTAAGGTGATGAGAATAGAAAGGCCAGACGTGGAAGCATGTGGGGAACTATCTCCTCTCCTGCAGTTTCTCAAAGAGTACATACGGTTTGGGAAGTGTCCCAAATAAGGCAATGGAGACAGCACTCTCCTATCTCTCAGGAGATTGAGGAAACTCCTGCGACAGTTGGAAACAGCAGAAGAGTATAGGGGAAGGAGATAAAAAAAATAATCAGAGTAGCTTCCACAACCCCAGAAGAAACAGAAGAGTTAGAAGTCAACAGTTATTTAAACACAGGAAGTGGGGCAGACCAGGGACAGATAAAGAAGAAAATGAAACTGGAGAAGTCAAAGTGAGAAAGCTAGCAAGACAAACAGAAAGAAAAACCCCTCTTGGGAAAATGCAAGCAAAAACCCCAGAAGTGAAGCACCATTCTTTGGGCCTAGGAGGCTCCATGGTTCTGAAACTGCTGCTTGGCTCAGCCTCTGCTTGAACGAATTAATGGCAAAATTCTTCTTCCCCAAAGGTGAGTGATCGATTCTATTAATCCTTCAGAATGATGTCTGTTACTAATTCACAAGTCTGACCTAAATTAGCCCTATAGTGAGAAAAGTGATCGGGTGAAGGGAGACTGGACAAAGAGGAATGCTTATAGCAAAGGTCTCTACTTAAACACTGTACCAAAACACAGAAACCTGTTTCTTATTTAACAGTCAAGAGGAGAGCCCCTGGGACTTCTACCTTAGCTAAGGTAACAGTATCTAAGTTAAACAAGGGATGTGTTCACCAAGAATATCTTCCTTAGGGCCATGCACAAGTTGAAACTAGACAAAGCACGCCTCAGACTATCTGCAGCTACACTATTTTACACTTCCTTATGCTCCTTTCTCAGCTCAGCCCGGGCTTGACCATTACTTTCATAGCTCATAAAAACTATCTATTAATTCTTAGAATGCAATGGAAGATCACACACTGAACTCAGGCCTAGAGACTAATGATATTCTTATGTCAAATGCACAGTGTAATCAACAAGGCCATTGATTGTGCACATACAATCCCATAAAAGTAAATGAGTCCTAAACATAACACAACTCAGCAGAAACCTCTCAGGAATCACTGTTTGCCCATAGACTGTACCATTTAGCCTAAAGGAGGATTAAGTTATAATCTTCACAGCCCCATTCAGTAGGAGGCAATTAAAAGCATCCACAACTCAGAAATAATGCAAGACACCCTTCAGGCTGCACTGCTATGCAGACTGCATTCACGAATAACGCTCCTGGAAATAACTGTGTCCATTCTTAGCTTTATTTCCATGAATGACTTCAGTGGCAAAGTCCACAGAGCTGTTCTGCAGTGGGGAAAGGATGTGGCTACCCGTATCAGTACCAAGGCTTAAGTCAGTGTGTGACTGGCCACAGACAGCATGCTGTATAAAAATGACACAGAACAGCTGCTCCCATCCCCTTAACACTTGGTAAATTATCTACTTGAATGATGTAATTGCTGGGCTTCTTGATAGTCTAATAAAAGCCATTTTGGACAAGTGCTTAACGTGCACGTTTTGGTAAAGACTTTTAACAGAGACCCTGAAAACGACCAACAGGTTCTCAGGAAACGCAGCAGAGGATAACGGCTCTCTGAAAAGAGGGCCTCCCTCCCGAGCAGGGTGCTCCCCAGCATCCCACCGCCACAACACCCCAGCAGAGCCCACAGCGAGTCACGGCCCGACACCAGCTCTCCGTTATCCCTCCCCCAACAGGAACCACCGCCCGCTCTCGCCCCGAGCACCAGCCCCCTCCCCAGGAACCCCCTTTGCCCCAGGTACGCGCGACCGCGGCGCCTCCGACACCCAAGGGCGGGGCGAGGAATCCCCGCGGCAACGGAGCAGTGGGCCGCGCACCTGGTGAAGGCGAAGGCCATGAGACTGAGGATGGTGAAGCTAAGGAGGGTGATGGTGTGCGGGCGATAGAAGAACTCCAGCGTAATGTCCTCCACCTGCTGCTCGTTGATCATGCGGAAGTGCAGCCGGTAGTTCACGTCGTCCTTGCTCAGGGTACGGCTCCCCACACACGACGCCATCTCGCCCCTTTTCCCTCGGCTCAGAGCAGCACTGGCTCTCCCGTGGCGGCGCGGCGTGACCCGAACCAGCCCGGCTCGCTCGCCCGCCTCGCTTCCCGCTGTGGCGACGCCGCCGAGAAAAGCGGCGGCACGCCCGCAGCGCTGAGGGGCGGAGCCGGCACAGCCTCTTCGGCGGCGCTCTGCGCCCACGCGGCGAAAGAGGGCAGAGAGAAAAGGACCGGAGGCGCTGGAGAGAGGCGGAGCCACACCAGCCTTTGAACAAGCGGTGGAAAGGACCCTTTTCTGCCCGCCCCCACACCCCCAGCCCTGCTCCCGAATGGTTTCACCCGAGTTGAGGGTGGGGCCGGACGCTACACACGTGGGCTAGGCCGCGCAGGAGCGGTATGAGGGGCAGGTGAGGCGCTAGGGGGTTCTTGGGAGCGGATGGCGGGGCCGGCGCTGTGCTCACCATTCCTCCCCTTCTCGCTTCCTCCGCCGGGCTCGGTGCGTGCGGAGCGGCACGGCCTCATTCCGGCTGGGAGGAAATGCTGCCGGCCTGCAAGGGGTGGTGAGCGCGGCCCGGCGTCCACCCGCCTTTCCCTCGCCCTGTGGCAGGGTGTGAGGCCGTCTGCACGGAGGGCCCCGTCTCTTGCGGCCACTTAGGTCCTGGCTGCGTTTCCCCTGTGTTCCCAAGGGAACTGCTATCATTCACAGCAGTTGGGCGGTGGCGTTTAGAGCCGCTTCTTCTCAGTTACGTCTTCTCCGTCTGTCCCGCGCTCAAAGCCTGGAAGCGGTACTTAGCGCTTTGTAGCGAGTAATTTCTGGTTTTAATGCGCAGGGAATTAACGCTTACGCTCCCAGCCCTGCGGGCGAGGGGAGACAGCGCCTGCGTTGCTCCTGAGCAGTTTCTCTCCCAGCAGGATACTGTGCTGAGGTGCAAGATGGCGTTGTGGGTTCGGCAGGTCCCCCACTGGTGTTGCCTGCTCAAAACAGCCCGTGCTGCTGAGTTTCCTCGGAGGCTGAGGAGCTGCAGCATTACCGCTCAGGCATATGCGTTTGCGCCTCTGGCTCTGCGGCCCTCTAGAAATAATACTCTTCTGTGGAGACTGCAAGCGTACAGACATGTATCTGTAGGAAGCTGTTCTCCGTCTGATAGTGCCATGGATGGATCCCTTTCTTCTCCTGAAAGTAACTTGCCTTCATCAGTAGAACAGGAACAAGCAAAAGCAAAACCATTACCTGATCTGAATGCACAAGTACTGTATAAAGGTAAGAGGCCTTAGGGATAGCATTTCTCCTGAATTTCTGTATCATACTTTTAGTATTAGCTCTCGTTCTTTTTTTTTTCTGACTGTTTACCTAAAATATTTTTCTGAAGTTCATGACATTCACTTGATGTTAGTCCCATAGGTAATGCAGAATTCCACTCTAGCATACGAAGAATACCTTTAAACCAAGATAAAGGTGTAAATATTTAGGTAAAAACGTCAGTCTGGATCTGCTGCTTGAAGGGCTTTTCATAACTCTACTTGCAGCAGCTGAGCATTTGCCTTTCTTTCATGGATGTGCTGGTACAAAATAAAGGGGTTTGTTTGGCTTTGGTGTGTTTTTTGAGCAAGGGTAGGGGAGGCCATCCCTGAAGCAGCTCGCGCAACATCAACCGTTTCTATCATCAAGGATGAACAACAGGAGGCAGCAGTGTGAAGCTTGCTTAAGCACTGCCCTGATGAGGCGGGCTCGTCCAACTGTCTCCTGAGAAAAGGAGTTACGTATAATGTCGCCTTGGTGGTGTTGCCCCGACGAAATTGCCTCACTTTTCTCTGTATCTAAGTGAGGATACAAAAAAAACCATCCTCTGGAAATAATTCTAGTATGCTGAGGAAGCTTGCTCTGGATTACTAAGTAGTCTTGTATGTTCAGAATCTGCTTTGAGCCCTGCCAACTTGGATCCTATAGAGCTTATTTTTGGGGTGGCTCAGAGCTGCAACTGAGATCTGTGTGTTTGTGCAGCTGGTTCTGGAAACAGTGCTGCGCCAGAACTGACAGGTCAGCCAGCTAATATGCGTCTGCACCTGTGGTGCAGTTTATCTACATGCCAGATTTTTACCTGCCAACAGGCTTGCTGTTGTGTATGTGTATGAGGAGCATTTTGCACAGTTGGCAGTGTATATAATGGAATAAACATAACTGCTAATTTTTATGTTCTTGTTGGTAACTTGAGGTATGTTTTCTCACAGGAGGTCTAAAGAAATTAAAGTGACAAAAAAAGGGGATCTGTACTTCCGGAGTAGATCTTGGTGTATATTTGTTCAGTCCTCAATAAGTTCAAAGAAAATATTTGATATCCATATAGACTCCTAGCAAGTTCTTATTACCATTTGAAGTGTAAACCTTGCTAAAAATATTTTACTGTGCTTTTATTCCTGAGGCTTTGAGAAAGATAAGTGGCAAGACCTTCAACAGCTATTGGGCTAGTCTGTGCAACTCTTTCTGGAACATTAGGATCATCTTACTTTAAAATCTGTCTTGGTACTTCTGGTGTGGCTTTGTTTTCTTGATACAGAAGAGTGTTACCCTACAAAGTCATTGTACAAAGGCACAGGGCAGAGAAAATCGTCATCCTGAAGAGTTTATAATTAGGGTTGTTGGTCAGTAATGGGTTTGGTAATTGAGGTGGACACTAGCAGCCAGCCTGCAAACAGTAATCTTGATCCAACTGCTGTGAGCTCCTGTCAATGGAAAAATACATCAATTTACAGAATTAATTATTATTATTTTTTTAAGAGCCCTGTGACATGGAACACTGAAGGGGAAAGAAGCATAATGATGTTCACTTGGAAAATCTTGATGAGTAGGAAATAGAGCTTTATTTCTTTAGCTATTAGAGGTGGTGAAGTCAGCAGCTATTCTGTAATGGATAAGACATGATAGCTTGGTTGGAGTTGGCTGTGAAATACCTTGAAAGTTAAAACAACTGCAGTTCAGGCATCAGAATCAGAAGAGGGACAAAAGTAATGGGCTTGTCAGATTATGAGAAATAATCTTTGCAGTAGTGTTTGATCTGGATATGAAAGGGCAAGAATGCATTTATAAAGCCATGAAAGATTCTTTTTCAAGAAGGTGATGTGATTTGTCATCTGCAATGATCAAGGCTGCAGACTGAAGGCAAGCTTGCTGGGTGCCACACTCAAATTTGAACACATGAGGAAGAGTTGATGGGCACTGACAAGGACGTGGAACAGAGACAAAAACTATCTGAGTTTTTGGAAGTAAAATCTGTTTTCTTATGTTGATAAATAATAATAGATTGGCTGTTCATCTCATACACAGTGTTCTTGCATTTTGAAATAGATTAAGAGATCTGTATAGCATCCAGTAGGAGCAGCACTGTCTTTCACAAAATGCATTTGAGTCTTCTATATTTGTTTCTTAGACTGGGATGATGTTCCACCTTCATCTGCTTTGGAGGAGATTTCTGAGGAAGAAGCTGTGCAGATCATTGCAGAACCGCTTCTTCCCCTTCAGTCTTCCACGCTCCGAGATTATGTTGATCACTCGGAAACTTTGGCAAAACTTGTCCACCTAGGTATGTATGGTTTTGTGTGGTTTGCCTACGTCTGGACCTTTGGAGGTTCTATAATTTGTGTTCTGATCTTACTGGTTGCCTTGTAAACTTGAAAACAGGCACAGTGACCAATGGCTAAAAGCAGCAGTTTCCAGGGTAAATAAAAGAGAGGGGACTGCATAACTCCTAGCAATGCCATATTACTTGAAGACAAATCTTGCTATTTCTTGCTCTTCCACAGCTTCCAGAGGTGGGGAGCACTTTGTGTAATTTGTTTGGTCCTTCTTTTGGATTCATTAAAGATGTTTTAATTTGCTGCAAAAGAAATTGCAGTTTTCCATCCATGGAAAGAAGGAAGAATAATTTCTGTGCAGAACCTTACCAGTGGGGCACAGCAAACTGGGGAGGCAAGAAGGAAGGAAAAGAACCTTACTTCTCATTAAAGTCTCTTAGAGTGTGAAGAGATAGATGAGCTCAAGGTTGCTGGCCACCTCCTTGTTCCCCAAAAGTGCAGGGAGATCTAGAAAGAGGTTGGAGAAATAGATATTTGAGGGGGAGATCTCTGTCCATGTAGTAACAAATTTCTACACGTGAGCCAGTATCCAAAGGCATTACACTGCAAAATTGTCCTCTTCCCTTGTATAAAGGAGTCGGGAATTCATTGTACATATATGTTCCTGTGCTACAGGAGTAGGTACCTATATGTGGCATGAGCTAGTGTACTTGATTCCTGACATGCAGGATTCACTGCAAATGCCTTCTTTAAAAAAAATAAACTCAGCAAAAGTGTCTAAAATGACTGCTTGTTTTATCTGGAATCTTTCCAGGGTATACAAGGTGCTGTGACCTTGCTGTGTTAAGCAATTTCACATATTATATCAATGCATAAAAGGAGTAGTCCTATGAATTCCAATGTGCCTTCGTGAAACATTTATAGGAAGTAGGGTCTGTATACAATTAATTTCTAATTTTGTTTGTTGTAGGAGTTGACTTATCACAAGTGGAGAAACGTCAAAAAGCAGGTCAGCTCTTACTGACCTTGGACTTTGAAAAAGATATAAAAAAAATACTTCTGTTTCTTAAGGATGTCGGTGTAGAAGACAATCAGATGGGAACATTCCTGACCAAAAATCCATACATCCTTGCTGAAGATCTGGAATCTTTGGAAACCAGGTAAGCCTTTCAAACAGCAGCAAGGCGCTAAGCGCTTTGGCTTGAAGATCTAGTTTCCTAGTTGGCTTAACCTTGCCTGAACTTGCATTGCTGCTGTTTCCTTTCTCCCTTGATCCCCAGCTCTGTGTTCCTGTGCCTTCTCATCAGTCAGCATTAACGTGATGATATTGTAAGTCGAGGCAACACCCTGATCCACCCGAAAATGGATCATTAACAAATTTTACTGCTCATCCCTGTTTCTCTGGCACAGAGGAAGCAGCTTGCCATCGTGAGCCATTTGCTTTACATGTGTCAGCTTAGGTTCCAAAGCAGTCCCTGACGCTTTATCTGAAGTTGTGGAACAGTATTAACTTCTTCAGCCATGCTTTGAGACCGCCCTTCTAGATAACATGTCTACCCATACCTTCCAAGTTCTGCTATAAAAGAAGCAGACCAGATCTCTTCTGTGTTTACATCTACAGCAGATGGTTTTGGTAACTTTTCTTTCATCATAGAGCTCAAACTGAGCACAAGGCTACAATAAACTAGTTTGTGTGTGTTCACACTTGTATGGACCTACACTGTTTCTCAGGCCATAAAATGGACTTTTATTCTTAAAATTACTCCAGACTGGCTTGCAATAATACACACTTTGTAATGAACTCAAAACATCTTGGTATTTAAAAATTCCAGAAAAGAATGTCTTTCTGCTTGGCTTTGCACTTAGTAGCTGTCCAAGACAGAAATCTGAAAATACAGCTTTTTTGGAAACGGGCACGTTAGCAGACTCATGTCTAATAGATCCAACTTTTCTTTTGTTCTCCTCTGTTCTTCCATCCTCCTTTCAGAAAAATATACCAAAAGAATCTGTGTCATTTTCCCAGCAATAGCTTTGAGTCTAAATGTCAGAGTTGCTAATACTCTTCAGAAGAGAGTACTTTTGGCATGATAAATATTCTGACTCTCCTGTGAAGTCAGACGTCAGCTGCTTTTCGATGACTGTCCTGTGGCACTGCCTAGTCAGTGAAGTAGAGGCTGAACAGGACAATTCCAATTTCTTCTTAGTTTTCTGCAGCCTATTTTTTCAGTAAGTTTATCTCTGTCACTGGTGAATGCTTTCCTACAAAGTAAGTGTGCTGTGGCGAGTGTGTGGCAGGCTGTGGATTGAATGCGTCTGAGATAGCTCTTTTGAAAGCCGAGTATCACCTTTGCATAAACACTTTGGTGCAGATGGACATGGTATTGGTTACATCACTTTGGAATGTTTTATTGCTGTGGATTCCATGTTGCCAGGAAACAAAACACAAATTTCAATAGATTTGGCATTTGACTTCAGATAAACACTGTAAAAGTCAAAACATTCCATAATTTATAACAATTCTGACAGTTGCAAATCGGTGTCTGTACTGCAGCTGCACCAGATTCTTTGTTTTATGGTGTTGTTAATTATGACTTGAAACTGTTAACATGCCACATAGAACTGCTGACCCCTGTAGTAGAACGAGGTGCCAACACTCAAATTTATCTCAAACTTTGGTCAGGTTGTATAACTGTGCTTTTTTACTACATTAGTTTCTAGAGTTAGATTATTACAGTCTTGCCATCCCTCTTTGAAGCTTCTTGCTTCTCCAGGATGCAAAGAAATGCATCAGGTGTGAAGCAGCATGACTTGTTAACAAGTGAAGAGAATCAGGACAACCAAGAGGTTTTATTTTTAATTTGCTCACTTAGCTGTATTTCTAGGATGCTTGGCAGTCGTGCCCTTGAAAAAAAAGAATGGAAGTAATATAGTGCAGCCAAGCTGCAGCATTCAAAACATAATGGGATAATTTTTGAAGGGCTAGCTATTTATTATTGTGTTCTGCATTTCTCCCCCTTCTTAAACTCGCTTTGTCTCTGTGGCTCCTGCAGCCGGTTCATCGGCACTCCCTGGAGCCTACGCTGCTACCTTCTGTGTTGGTGTGCCTGCTCAGTTAGGAATTGGTCCTCTAGGGCTTGTTCTTAGATCTTACATCTAGAGGTTTTTGGCTTGCAATTACCTCATTTTTGGGGGTTTGTTAAAAGAGAGGAAGGTTGTCGTGACTAGAAGGTATTTTTATTTTCTTTCTCTCCACAAGACATGATTTAACACGCAGCCCATTTTTTTTGCCAAATATCTGCTTCTGCAGAATGTTCTGCAATCTATTTAGTATTTTAATTACTGCCAAATAAAATTGGTCCTTGTATGCTCTAAGTTCATCTGGCAGTAAATACTTCTGTATATGCTCATCTATAACCAAAGGAAACTTCTTCAAATTATAGTTTGTTTGACTTTTATTTTTTGTAGAAGGTGGTACGTGGGTCAGTAAGTCTCTTTATTGTATGTGCTGTACTTCTGACCCCCCTTCCTTTTTCTGGGAGCTAAGGCAATAATCTGTTGCAAGTAGTACTTGAAATAGGATTTCACTTTCAATGAATTGAGCAAGTTTGGAAGTTTATTATAAAACCTTTAGTCAGCTCCTTTTCCTTTCTGATAACCAGATGTTTTGTAACTAAATCCTTGGACCAGTGACTGAAAGTAGGGACCTATTGTAATAAAAGTAACTTCAGCTGATTTAGAAATGTCTTTTTGGACAATTTCTCTACAGATAGCATTGTTGTATGATATTTCTGCTCTAGTGCTATTGGCAAAACAGGGATGTGTATGAGTACAGTACTCCGTTCTTTCAAAAGTAGAAATGGAATTCATTAAAATAGCAAAAGGTTGTATATATCTTCTTGTCCATACCCTATGATGATCCATTAATGTGCTTCCAATCCAGAGGACAGGCTGGTAGTTAAACATAGGTTAACATAGTTATCTGCTCAAGTACAGCTGGAAGGAATTAAAATCTGTCTTCAGTATTGACATTCTGGTGCTCCGAGGTTTATTTTACTTCTAATTAATTGAAAGGGGATGGTATTTTGCTTTTACGATAACTGCAGATTTCTCCCTAATTATTTTTGGCAGGGTTGCATGTTAATGCTAGAACATCTGTCCGTTTATAAGATATCACTGAGGAATTTAAGCAAGTACTGAATAAATGGAGGCAATAAAATTTTCATCACTGGATTTTATTTTGTTTTTGCTCTCTTTCTAGAGTGGCTTACCTAAAATCAAAAAAATTTGGTAAGGCAGAAATTGCTCAGATGGTCTCAAGAGCTCCGTATTTGCTGTTGTTTTCAGTGGAAAGACTGGATAACAGACTGGGTTTCTTCAAAAATGAACTTGGTTTCAGTGTAAAAAAGGTAAAGACTGTACACTGAAGTCTTCAGGTATTTTGTTAGTGATAACTCTAAGGCCTCTAGAACATGAATACTTCAAGTGTTTGGAGGTTATCCACAAACACTGGTAACACAGAGGGTTATGGGAGGATAACATGATTTTAACTGTCTGCAGAAGCAATATGGATATCTAACATTCAAAGGTTCTTGAAGATGATCTGCTACAGTTATTGTCAAACAGGTATGTGTGTGTCCAGCTTTGTTATCTGAGCTGGGTCAGAGTACCAAATTCATTACTGAAACAGGAAGCAACATTTTTAACTTCTAGAAAATTAATTGGCTCTCTTATCTCTTTAAGATACTGTAACATATTAACTCATTTGTGGAAAAAATAGTCTAATCTGTGAATATCACATTAAACTAAATGCCAAATCACATGCTCATCTAGCCCCTGGGTTCACTTGTGAGCACTTACCACATTGCATGCTTAGCAGGTGTTTAGCACTGTGCTTTGGGATCTTCAGAGGGGGTAGTACCTGGATTTCTGGGAATAAGTGGGCACTGTTAGTTGTTTCCTTCACTAGCTGGGGATTGCAGTCAATGTCAAGTTCCAAGTGGAATCTGGTGTTCTTCTATTGGCTTCTATTAGCTCAACAGTCACATAGCTGTCAGTGCCTGTTGCTAGCATTTACATGCTTGAGGTAGATCTCTCTGGAAAAGGGTTTAGTAACTGCCTTGTACTCAGGGTGGATTACAAATAATCACACATTTTAGGGCTTGTGAAGTAATTCCTTGTGTTGCCATAATAATGAGGTTAAACCATATCCTGAGATAGACAAATTCCACTGCAGCTGAAAAAATCCTTTTATAGCCTCTATCAGGTAGTGTTTTGTTTGCTTAATAAATAAATAAATAAATAAAGGTGGGAAGCACAACTTGAGCACCGAGAGAGACTGGGCAGTTGAGTGTACTTTCTGCTTTTGGGTTATCATGCTTTTACTCCCTTTTCCTGACTTTTACAACAGTTCTGTTAGGTTTTGTTTTCAAAAAAAAACGTATTTTTGCATCTTAATATACTGCTGCTTAATGCAAACTCATCTTTGGGATAGAAATAAAATGAAATGTGAGTGAAAGTGAATCCTCTTCCGGCTGGGGGGAGTAGGAGAGAGGTTTGTATGAGATCTCTTATCTTTCGTTCACAGATTCACAAGCAAGCTTTCAGTAATAATCTATCTCTTGTTTTCCCTGACTGTAGACAAAGGATTTGGTAATCCGTCTTCCAAGGCTTCTGACTGGCAAACTAGAGCCTGTAAAAGAAAATCTTCAGGTGAGCTTATTAATAGATATTAGAAGTGTATTGTGTATCCACATAGTTTAAGAGTTGTCAGAAGATAACATTCCTGTAGAATCCTGTGCAGAAGTTAAATGAAATCATTTTAGTGGGGATATAAAATAACTGAGGGTTTTGTTAAACAATATGTTTTCCGTTATAGCTTGCGAGTTTACAAGATACATGGAGCAGAATCTTATTCTCTACTCTGATGTAGGTTAGAGTCCCTTCCTGCCAAAATTGGTATCTGATGACACAAATTGTTACCTATTTCTTTACAATAAGTGGAAAAATAGGGCCTGCTTCCTCTTTTTTTTTTTCCCTTCTCTCCCCTTAATTATTATATTTTTTTGCTAACTTGGATTGTCCATGAAGATTTAGAAGTAAGAAATGTGCAATTGATTATTTTCCTCTTGGCAGGTAGCTAGTCTGCCAAAATGTGCATTTGACACTTATTGTCTGATAGCAGATGGTCGTTATTAACAACTGTTGGGTAAATAACTTCAAACCGTAGGGACTCCTTTCCCTTTTGAAATGTAACTATGTATTGGTTTGATTATTGTGCTGTAAAGCCATCTAGGCCAAGCAGCATGATGTAGTGTAACAATTTCAGAAATCCCATTATCCTGTAATGCATAACTATGGATTAAAATGTATAATTTTTGGACAGACTCACTGCTCTGGAACTATTAAGCAGTGGAAATCTTGCAATATGAAATGTGTGTGTGTGTGTGTGTGGTGAGGGAGGAGACTGGAAAGTAGCAGACTGTTCCAATTAAAAGTGCTTTCTTTTTAATGAACATTGTTTCCACAGGCTAGGGATTCAGTATAATGAATGTGTTTTTAAGATCCTCAGTCCTATGCAACTATCTTGTCTATCTACCAAAAAGTGTGTAGTGTAGCATCCTTTTTTTTAACGTATTCTAGAAAGGGAGGAAAGATTTTTAGACCCCCACTATTCAAATCTTCTGCTACTTAGCAGCTCCAGCCTTCAGGAGGTTGGATGTCTCGGATTCAGAATCTGTGTCCAGACCTGTATGTCCTAAGCTGGTGATGGGCAGGCAGTACTCAAAGTGAAACCACAGACAAGTAATTCAGAAGTGATCTGGTGGTATCCCTTGTTCCAAGTCTGCTGTCAGCTGCAACAGTTGTTCTAAGTAACATGGTTGTCAAAAGATACCAATCATGGACTAAATGAGCTGGAGGATGGCTTATTGCAGCCTCTGAAGGTTTCATCAGGTACAATTAGATTCACTGGTGTGTAAAACTGGAAAGTTTGCATTACCACTGCCTGTTGTGGGAATCATACAGAGTATGTTGGATATTGCTGGGGCTCACGCAGTAAAAGTGTTAGCATATGTGATCTAGAATATTAGTGAATTTAAAGGTTTGATATCAAACTGAGTGCAGTCAAAGCAACTTACACTTGAGCTTACTGCTCATGTCAAGAGAGCTGTTCCATTTCACAGAGTAGAAAAGAAAAACCTAAGATTCTTGCCACAATTACCTCTACAGCGGGGCCAGCTATTTAACATCACATCTTACTCTTGTATGTTAATGCAGTAAATAAACCTCTTCCAGCTCAGATCTGTGGAAGACGTCGCTAAAGTGCAAACACATCTTTTCATCCTTGAATGCTGTCTTAGCTGAGTAATATTTCATGTGATATGCAAATATTTATAAAGCAGGTAAGAAAGAATGAGGAGTTGAAAGACCTGGTTATTTGCCTCTAGAAACAATTTCCTGTAAGGACCTGGAAGTCCTAAGGTAGCTTCAAAACCCAGATCCTAAACCCAGCCCTTTGTATTTGCCAGGCAGTTTTGGCACATCAAACTGGAAAAACGAAAAGCACCACCTTTTTGGCAACTGAAAAAGTACCTAAGTTGGATTTAAAAGTCTGGTTATGTTGACTGGCAAGCACACCCACTTTGTGACTGAAAACAAGCTGCTTGTAAATGTCACTGGAGAATAGAAGAAATGGCTCAGTTACCAGACACCCTTGTATACTGAATTCCTTTCTCAACAACTCAATGAACTGCTTGCCATTCTGCACTTTGGGAGGAGTGCTCATTGGTTTACTGAAAAAATGTGTTTTGTTTTCATTTTAGGAAACCATAATTGAAGTCAAGGCAGTCTCTGAAAAAGAAATCTTACTTTAGACATTCACCAACTGTAAAATAAATTGAATACACTGTACATTCTGCACATCTCTTTCAGGTTCAACAGACTTCAGCTGAAGATGACAGGACTGAAATTAAGCTCCCTAATATAAAAATCTAATTTGGGTACATTAGTGAAATAACTAACACATTAACAAAAGTAGTCACTAGCTATTTGATTGTTGTGTTTTACAAAGCTCAACAGCTCTACAACTAGAAAGTCAGTCTCTCTTGACAGCTTGGTATTGAATCTGATAAAAAATGCTTAGGGGAAAATTCTTATGCTTGTAATGTCTGTGCATACTTTTTGTTCATCTCTCAGACAAGGTGAAAAATACATAACATTCACAGAAGTAATCTTTACTCCAGGGATACTTCATAAACAAATTACACTTTAATCCAGAACAATAAATAATTTTCACTGACTTCAGAAGAACGAGTGGCAGATATTATTGTGGGTTGCGTCTTGTTGCTGTGGGACAAAGGGTAGAAGAATTTTGCATCAATTTATTTCAGTGGCACATTAAATTAAGCTAAACTTGCTGTAGCTGACTTTAGAAGATAAAATTGTGCTCTTTTTCAGGTTTGTCAGATTGAACTTGGCTTTCAAAGGAATGAAATTCAAGAGATTGTGTTTAAAACCCCCAAGATTTTAACTGCAAGTAGAAATAAACTCAAACAGACATTTGACTACTTACACAACATAATGGGCATTCCTCACCACATGCTTACTCGCTTTCCTCAGGTGAGCTGTTTATCTGGGAATAAACTGTAGGTACTCTTTGCACAGCTGCTTCACTCCTTTGGTGCGGAAGGTGGAACCTCACTGTATGTAGGACACACATGAATTATACTTGTCCGTGACTTTTACTCTAATTGGGGTAAATTTTATTCGCAATTTGGCAACCATTGAGAATTCCAGTGTGCATGCGCCCTTCTGCTTCCCCTGGCACAAGTGACCCCACCACCACCACCCTCAGTCTTGTGAATTTTTAAGTTTTCAGCAGAAAACTTCAGTCATGGTCATCTTTCCTGGATTCATTCAAGATCAGTACATACTGCCTGCTTAAGGATTCCTTGTCCTCAAATTCCACCTAAGAGTCACAAGGGAAAACAGATCACTCATGCATATATAACATTTATTTCAGATTTGTCTACTTAAAGAAAAATAAATTCTACACATCCTAGGTTCTGGAAATATAGTTTTAGGTAAGAGAAGTCCTGTGTGTTAGGCAACCAGATTCTTACTGACCTTCCTAGTGCTGTGTTGACAGCTAAAAAAAAATCACAGGAGTGAAAATAGATCAGTTTCTTGATGCCTATTTTGTTTTTATCTGTCTCCTCTTTCTGTTATTTCCTCACAAATTAAAAGTTAAAAGCATTAGTCATTTCATCCAGTGCTGACATGCAATCACACTGGCTTCTTGCTAGGAAAAAAAAGCACAAATTACATCTTCAGAACTGCAGTAATTTTCTTTCTAAAGCAAGACTCGTAGGGAGTCTCACTGTCTAATCTAGCTGGCTAAAAAGCTGAAATTAGATGGTGAAATCAAACTACTCCCCAGGATTTTCAGTACTTGCTATTTAATGTATCTTTGCTTAACAAGGATCCTTGTTTTAAGTAGAGTGTCACTTTTGCCCTCCTTGACCGTTAAATGACCCCAAGTCTTGCTTACTTCCTTCTCAGTTGTCTTATTGTTGGCTTTGTGGTGGTTCACCTCATTTTTTTCCTATTATTCGGAAGAGCAAGGAGAGAGTATACTCTATTCCTTGTTCTTGATGCAGGCACCCTTTCTCTTCCCTGTTCTTCCCTTCCATCCTCAAAAACTGAGTTTCAGGATATGGCTAATGCAACTCTGCATATGGCCTGGCCATTAATTTGTGCATTCACAAATTCACATACTTGTTTCCATCTGTTGTTGCTTCTATCCTGAGTAGCAGTAATGCCTAAAATAGAGGCATACAGGATTTTTTTGTTACACGCTCTCTGATGTTTCAGCAGCAGTTGTAAACATCCTTCCTGTCAGCCAGCTCTATAAATGGTGATGAAGGATTTTTTTTTCCTTTTTTTTTCCTGACTCCCTCTTAAAATTCAATGAAGGCAGAGGACAGTTTTGCTTTCTGTCCTAGTTCAAATTAGTTTGCATCCTTATGCATCCTTCCTTCAGTAGTGTCTCCTTTTTAGTAAAAACTCCACTTGATTTCATTGCTTTAGTGTTCATATTTTCACCGTTATCTTCTCTAAAGCAGCATCTCCCTTCAGTTGTACTTCTCAGAAATGCAGTTAGATCTCTGCTTTTAAGACTTCTTAACTGCATCCTTGTCTTCCCTACTTCTAGATGTCCCACTGATTTATTTCATTTTTCCCTTACCATTGCTTTTGCCTTTGACTGTCTAGAATTCTTTTTGTGACAAGTATCTTCAAAGGTAGGCACTGCTGTGCCTTTTGGCTGCATTATGAGAGGTGACACAGACACTCCTTTTCTGTTGCCACTGTGCAGGTTCACTCTTTTGTGGTCACCTGCTCATTTCTTCCTTATGATAATGCTTATCTGAATCTGTCTGTATAAATAAACGCTTCTGATAGTATATGGAAAATACTTATGTATTCCTGCTCCCTGTTTCTGAATGTCTCCTCTCCATTTGCTTTTTTGTGATTACACAAAAATAATATAGCTAACCTGTATAAACAAAAAACCTAACTGACTTGAGAGTTGTATCACTCCCCCATTTCCCTTGTGGTGTGTGTATGTCAGCATATTGAATGGACGCATTTATTTAGAATTTAAATAATTTATATATGAATGTAACCTACCTGATGTTTGACATAAATGAGAAGATGCAAATTATTTTGCTTCCTAGATCTTCAGCTTGTTAAAAATAATGGTCTTATTTTAGATTCTGAAATACCAGTCTGAAATTTAGACAACCTAAAAGATTCTTTCCTATGTTTCTTAGGTTTTCAACTCAAGACTATTACGAATCAAAGAAAGACATATGTTTCTTACGTTCTTGGGAAGAGCCCAGTATGACCCAGCACAACCCAGCTACATCTCTCTGGACCAGCTAGTATCCTTGCCTGATGAGGTGTTTTGTACAGAGATTGCCAAAGCTTCTATACAGGACTTTGAAAAATTCTTAAAAACACTTTAATTAGTAGCACATGTAAAAAGGAATAAAGTTACGAAATAAACATGTTTTATAAAATTATTCCCTTCTTAATTACTGGTTTAAGGAGTTGTTACTTCTGAAACATTTGTAGGATTTAAAGGCTCACAGTAAGATTCTTCAGAATGTATTTCAGAAGGATTGAGTGAATATGTTGATTGCTACTGATGCAATCCTTGTAATTAATGTCTAACTTCAGAGTGAATGATGCAGCACACTAACAGAAAAGTAAATTTAAGTGGATTCTTTCTTATTCTTTCTTCCCCCACCCCCCTCAGTACTTCCAGAGGTCTAGGAGATGGAAAAACTGGCTAGTGGCTTATTCCCTGTCTCACCCTTTGTCTTCTCCCCTTCACCCCCTCCTCCCAGAAGTTACAATAACAAGCTAATGCAGTAGAGAAGTGACATGTTTGCGTGCTATTATCTTAAGAGCTAGCAATGTTATTCTTTTCCGTGTATGGCAGCAAGAAGTACACTGTTACATTATGTGGAGTCCCTCATATAAAAAAGCATTTTCAACAGGTTACAAAGGTGCTTCTTTGCGAAGCTGGCTGCTGAAGTTAATATCCTAAAAGCTGTGCAGTGAAACTTCATTTGAAATAACAAAGAAAATCAGCAAACTGGATCTAGGCAAATTACAGAAAGAAAATATATCTATAAATGTCCCTGAAATCTAAGAGGAGCGTATTTTAAGTCACTTGTCTCTTCTCGTTTAGGGGGAGCAGTTTTTTTCCCATCCGTGTGAGATTTGTATGACTTTAGTAAACAAGTAACTATATGAAAAGAAGCTGTAGTATATACTTAGAAGAATTGTCTTGTTCGGTGTTAACAAGTGAAATAAATGCTAACATTAATAACCGCAGGAGCATTTAAAGTATTTAATCCTACCAGGAAACAAGTCACATTAATATGGAATTATCAGATGCTTCACAGTTTGTTGTGATAAAGTGAAGAAATGGAGTAAACCCAAATGCAAAATGTCTGATTGTTCAGAAATTTCCATTCTTTCAGTTAAAACCTTTCAGAAAACTGAAATCCAGATGTTTTCATTTGGAGTTAGAATCATAGAATCATAGAATCATTAAGGTTGGAAAGGACCTTAAGATCATCTAGTTCCAACCCCCCTGCTGTGGGCAGGGACACCTTACGCTAAATCTTATCACCCAAGGCCTTGTCCAACCTGGTCTTGAACACTGCCAGGGATGGAGCATTCACAACCTCCCTGGGCAACCCATTCCAGTGCCCCACCACCCTAACAGGAAAGAATTTCCTTCTTATATCCAACCTAAAGTTCCCCTATTTAAATTTTAACCCATTACCCCTTTTCCTGTCACTACAGTCTCTAATGAAGAGTCCCTCTCCAGCATCCTTATAGGCCCCCTTCAGATACTGGAAGGCTGCTATGAGGTCTCCACGCAGCCTTCTCTTCTCCAGGCTGAACAGCCCCAACCTCCTCAGCCTGTCTTCATACAGGAGGTGCTCCAGTCCCCTGATCATCCTCGTGGCCCTCCTCTGGACTTGTTCCAACAGTTCCATGTCCTTTTTATGTTGAGGACATCAGAACTGCACACAATACTCCAGGTGAGGTCTCATGAGAGCAGAGTAGAAGGGCAGGATCACCTCCTTTGACCTGCTGGTCACGCTCTTTTTGATGCAGACCAGGATACGGTTGGCTTTCTGGGCTGCGAGTGCACACTGAAGCCGGCTCATGTTCATTTTCTCATCAACCAACACCCCCAAGTCCTTCTCTGCAGGGCTGCTCTGAATCTCTTCTCTGCCCAACCTGCAGCTGTGCCTGGGATTGCTCCGACCCAGGTGTAGGACCTTGCACTTGGCATGGTTAAACTTCATGAGGTTGGCATCAGCCCACCTCACAAGTGTGTCAAGGTTCCTCTGGATGGCATTCCTTCCATCCAGTGTATCAACTGAACCACACAGCTTGGTGTCATCGGCAAGTTAAGCTTATTTAATGAATAATCCTCAATGGTTTAAAAGCTGAGTGTTGGAGCTTAAAATACCAATTTGTATGCAGACAGCAGAATAAATTTCAAAAGGTTAAATTCCCCTAATAGGTGGGAAGTAAAGTAAAGTTAAAGAGAAGAGACATTTAAAGAATGAGTACAGTAATGATATCTGGATTATTACTTGAGTCTTTTATCCAAAATAAAAAAAAAATTGGAATTGGAATTACAATACCCAAGTAAAGAAGTGTTGTCAGAACAAGCAGAGTGCAAAATGATTTACTGGGCTATCACTTAAGCACAGTAAAAAGCTACATTTATTTTCTGTAATAGTATCTGAGATGTCCTCTTTTGTTTTCTGTTCTTGTTTCCCACCCCACTGGCCTGGGAAGATCACTCAAAATCTTCTATTAAGTAGCTTGTTCTTGGTAAAGATGCATAACAAATTTAATCTAAGATGGTGGCTGAAATGTGATGGCTGAGCACTTTATATCTAATTCAATATGCCTATTTAGATTTTGACTGTATTAAAGGTATTAACTAAAAGTGGCTCCATAATGCCACAGAATTTGCTTTTGCAGGTTTATTCTGCTGTCCTTATCACGATCTGTATTACCATGTGACAAACTGTTACAATACAAAATTACATTACATAATGCATGCATTTTGAATGTCTCCAACTTTGGGCTTTTAATTCCTTTAATATTTTTAAACGTAAAAATAATTGCTGCCAGACCTAAACCAGAGGTTTTGAAATGTTAAATGCATGAGCTTATGCCAAAATAGCTTCCCAGAAATACCACGAAGAAACAAAGCAAAAGATTTTATGGGAGTGCTAAAAGGAAAGGGGAAAGAGTATAGAAGTTTTTGAGGATCATGCCAAATACTTTTTGGCTTTAAGATGAAAAAAAGAAAGGGGGGGTTTAGACGAAATGTTTGGCCCAGAACTTACTATACTCTGCTGTTCTTGATAAGGGCTAGCAGCCTTTGATTGAGCATGTTGAGGCTTGATGGGTATAACACGGCAAAGGCTCCTTGAGCTCTGCTGACACACGGTTTGAGCTGTGCTGTTTGCTTGTGTATCACAGTCAGCTGCGTGCTTTTGAGTGACATATCTACTGTAGCAATAGTGCTAGTATAGTTCCATATACTGATTTCTTTAGAAGTGCAGCCGTCTGCTTATGAAGGGATTGCTGGGGAGAGGCAGTGATGGGTGCCTCAGGAAACAGCTGCTCACGTGGGAGCTGTGATACCTGAATAGAGAGAGGTTTCTGCATCTTTCAGTGATTGACTTTGTGCTTACTGTATTCTGAACTGATTTTTAGCCGATACCTTCACAACTGCTGGTCTGAAGAATCTTCATAGCACCCAGTTCTGCTGCCCTGATTGACAGCTGGTTTACCTTACACCAAAGCAAGCACTTGTTCACACCAGCTCTCCACGCACTACAGCAGTGGCCACGCAGGTGAGTACCCGGGCACCGCTAGCAAAGGCAACGCTCGGCCTGGTGCTATAACATGTTGGTTTTTGCATGGCTGTCCGTTTGCAGAGGCACTGCGGTGCAAACACACCGTGAGGAGACGGCGCTGTCACTCGTTCTGAGCAAGCGTTGCCTAATCTTAATTACCGATCCTCCAACACCGAAACCGCTATCTAAAACCGCTGTAGGAATCATGCGCTTCACCGTGTCCACCAGGGCCTCCCCTTTGCTGCTCTCTGCGCCCGCGGGTGGTGCCTCAGAGCAGCCCGGTGCCCTGCGGCAGCAGACGGCCTAGCGAGACGCCCCTACCTGGAGGGGCCGTACGGCGGAGACTCGTGAAGCATCCCCGTCCTCCGGGACGCTCCGCCTGCCCGTGTGAAAACGCTGGCTGGGAAAGCCTGCAATCCTCCCCTGCCGGCACCAGCCCGCCCGTTGCCTCCCCCCTGCCGGGGCGCATGCGCCAGAGCCGGGGTGGCATTGGCGGGGCCGGTGCGCCCCGGGAACGCTGCGGATTACCCAGAAGGCAGTAGGCCGCGCCGAGGTCAACATGGCGGCGAGGGCGTCGGGTGAGGCGGTGGAGGGTTTCCGGGGTGGTCGTGCGGGGCCGTGCTTGCCGCGTTTGTGGTGTGGGGCTTGTTCTGTCCCGTCCCGTCCCGCGCTGGGAGGCGAGGCAGGCCGTGATAGGAAGGTGGGGAGCCGGTGGGCTGTGTGCGCTGTGTGCCCTTGACAGGGGAAGTGCCGCAGCTGATGTATCGCCGGCAGGGCTCTGTCGGTCGGGTTTCCTCACTGTCCCTCCCGAGCGGCGGCCTCTCTGTCTGGGCCTCAGCGGAGGAACCTGGATCCGAAACCGAGGTTTTTTTGAGATCAGGGGGCAGAAGGTGTTCGGGGGCAGCGCTGGCCTACCCAGGTACTGGCACCAGGCTTAGATGGTCTAATGTTATTCCTTTTCAAGCCCTAAAAAACGAAGGAATAAGGCCTGATGAGGGGGTATGCAAATGATGTACTGGTATCACACATAGCACTGGTTTTATGGGGTGTCACAGTGAGATGACATGAAGAACAGTTTGCCCTGGATTCATGGCCCATGTTATATAGTTTCAGAGTTGGTATTTGGTACTACACTGCTTGATCACAGGTAAAAATACCTTTGCTATCCAAGATCATCGTTAAGGAAAGGTGAATATTCTGCATGTGGTGTGCTTTATTATTTTTAGTTTTAAAGCAATTTTTTGAGGTTTCAGTGTTGACTTTCCAGTTGACTTTGTCAGCCTTTTGAAAAAGGAAACTCTGGAATAGTATTTAAGTAACTGGAGAGGAGAGCAGAAGGTTAACAACATAGTAATACACTGCCTTTGAAACTGCATTAATCTGTAGTGAGAGATGTGGAACTTCAATAAATTGTTTGGAAAGCATGATGGTTTTGCTGTACGTAGAACGTGGTTTTAGCTCAAGTAAAAGTTACACAGTCTGAAAGTGTTACTGCTGCCTTTGACACCAAACTGTTAGCATTGATGCAAGTTTTAAAGCAGTCTAATATTCAAATTTAGTGAAACAGAGGCCAAATTACTGTATGTAACAAGCGCTCATTCTGCCTGTTCAGC